GGGTTTGGATTAGTTAGGTCTTTTGTCTGGTTACCCAATAACCATTCAGTCCCAGAAAATTCAATAATCCCAGCATTCACTGGGTACATTCTTCCTTTGTTTCAGTAGCAATTGGTAGGTCATCCACATATTGTAAGAGTCCCCATCCGAGTGGGTGTTCCATGATTCTAGTTCCAGTGCTAACTGATTTTGAAAAACCATTGGACTGTTTTAAAACCCTTGAGATAATACTGTCCAAAGTTAATTGGGTTTTCCTTACTGTATCAGGATTTTCCCATTCAAAAGCAAACAAATTCTGGTTTTCTTTGGCCAACGGTAAGCAAAAGAAAGAGTCCTTAAATCCAAGATGGCAAATCATTTCTGATTCAATTTAGTCAATAAGGAAAATGGATTAGCTATTACTGGATAAATGTCCTCTATAAATTTGTTGATTCCTGAGATCTTGAACCAATCTGCAACTTTATTTAAATGTTACTTCTTGGCCTAATGAAGATTTCAGAGAATTTAGCATGCATAAAAATTTTATGCATTCCTATTTGTTATCCCAATTTGTACTTTAAGGGTTGCATCATTTTGCACTTTTTTTTTTTTTCCCCAGGGTTTTTTCCCCATTTTTTTTTCTTTTCTTTGGTGGCCAGTAGCTCCCACATCTGTAACAAATTCTTTTCCCTCTGATTTAACACTGAATAAGTTGCTCCTGTATCCACTAAAATTCCACTTTATTTCCTCTAGTGCATAGTTTTAATTTAACCAGTGGATCTGCTAGGGTAGATTCCCCAGGTCCCTTTGTCAGTCTAGTTCCAATTCAGCCACTGGAGCCACCCCATGGCACTCCCTCCCCCGCAGGGCAGTCTCACTTCCAACGTTCAAAACTCCCCACAGCACACACACACCGATCCGGTCCCATAAGAGAAGAACCCACTTCCCCCACTGTTGATGCAGGAGTCACGGACAACGCAGGAACGATCAATGTTATCAGAAAATGCCAATTTATTACAAAGCTTTAACTCCTTATATACCATTTCTTACAGGCACTTACAGTGATTTGGCATATTATGATTGGATACATGTCTTGAAGACCCTTAGCGACTAACACACAATTGGTTAAGCACAGGTGTGAGAACTTGACCTCGAAAGCTTGCCAACAGTCCACAGTTCTCATAGCTCGGTGAATTCCACCTTCTTCTTATCTTGCTTGCTTAAGCTTCCTTGGGCCTCTCATGGCCTTGCTGTATCTTTCAGGATTATTCAAATTTTGCACCAGTTATGCATTCTCCTGTGAGAACACTGTCTCCACACCCCACCTTTGCCCGACATTCCTCCTCCATCAGTTTCAAAGCACTTCTGTTCACATTTATACAACAACCCCTCAGTCCCGTCTGTCAACAGGTCTGCTCCCACTTGTTTGCCTGCCCCAGCACTCATCCCGTGCTCAAACACAGGAGCTGCACGAGCTCCCCTCCTTTCCCACTTGGTTTCCCCCCTTTTTTTTTTCTCACAGTTGCTCACGCTGCTCTGCAGAGGTTTCAGATGCCTGCCTCTGCAACAGCACTTCCTGCCTGTTGCAGGTGACAGCAATCTCCTCCTCCTTATCAATATCTGATAGGACAGATATAGACGGTGCTCCTCTCGGAAGTATCTGTGATATATAATTTTCCTATTTATAACTTTTAAACATCATTCCCCCAATATCACAGGCCGAACAACATCTCTCCAGCTTAGCTTTCAGTTTTTCCCTGTCCTTTTCCAAAGCCAAAATTAGGGATCTGGCAGAGCTGTATTAATTTCACATTCTACCTGCCACTCCAGTTGGTTTCTTAAAGTGAAAAACATATCTGTATATAGTCCTTAATCCCATTTTCCTGGCCACCTCAAAGACAACATTCATTGTAACAATGTATTATAATTCAGAGTTCCATTTTTAGGCCATTTCTCCTGATCTTCTGAAGTATATAAAGGCCCCCATTGGTTACAATATTTTATCAATATTTTCTTGTTTACCGAGCTCCCAGAAGACCCTCCCAGTTCTTTCCAATGTGCCAAAATGTAACCCAATGGGCTTTTCTTCAGAATTCCCTTGTTTTGACCGGCTCCCATTTCAAACAATCTTTTACAAATCTCTTAGCTTCTCTTTCCCAGTGCTCTGCAAATGCACTTAAAAAATATGAGAGCACCTACACACAAGTGTTATGATATTCTCAGGGGGTTCAGTAAAATAATATCTCTGGGTTCTGCAGATCAACTCCCCTGTTGTTGGATCATAGTTTCGGTTCCATCAAAATTTACACTGTCCTAGTATCCACGGCAGGTTCCACTGTTCAAAAGTTATTATGCACCCATATGTGAGGCTACATGCCTCTGGTACTGAGTGTAAAGTTCAGGTCTCAAGAGTAGGATTACAGATATTAGAGGTTATACTTCTGTTATACAGCCACTGGGGCACAGAGGGAACTCTTCTTAACACCCCCCCCCCAATAGCAACAGTTTACTTTTGTCTACTCCTCCCCCACCGCTTAAGCACTGTAATCTTTAACAGTAACGACAGACATACACGCACACAAAACACTTAGACACAACACAAAACAAAGATGCTTGGTCAGTCTCCGGCCACTCTCCTCGCAGAGAACACGGAACCGTGGATCAGGACTCCACACTGGCTTTGTAGCTATGCTACGTCTCAGTCACACAGAAACACAAACACACACATGGGATCCCACACAACCATACTATGGTTCCGCTTACCCTTCTCCTGCTTCTTATGGTAGCAGGTCCGTCCTGCTTCCCAAAACTTGGGATGCAGCGAAAACACGGACTCACCCGATCCACCCTCAGATCGCTAAGCGGCCGCTCTATCAGTCGGCGAGTTCCCTGCTTGCACCCCTGTGGGTAGGGGTCCTCAAGATGAAGTAAATGAGTCTTCCTCTTCTTGAACTTTTCACCTTTTAGTCTTCACATATGGCCTTAGGGTTTGGTCCCAGCCATAAACCATCTGCTTCTCCCCCTTAACAGTAGATTCAGGGGTCTGCTTTTCCCTATCAATAGGTGCTTATCAATAGAATCAGGTGTCTGCTTTTCGTTGTCAATAGAACCAAGTGTCTGCTTTTCCTTATCAATAGTTAGTGCCTTTGTTCTGCTTAGTAGGCATGATAGGTACAGACAATACCTTTGCTTAAACAAGCGAATTCCTCTAACCCCCCTGTACAAGCCCCCTGTACAGCCCCCCTGTACATTGGTCAACCCTCTGCATCAGTTTAAGCCCAGCCAGTAACTCAGAACCAAGCAGCCACTTGCTCACTCTTCCTCCTGGACGACTGGGATTTCCTGTTCGAGCTTGTTGTGTACTTACTGCCTCACAGGGAAGAACTTCATAATATTTAACCTAAATTTGCCCTCTGTCAGTTTAAACCCATTCCCTCTTGTCCTGTCCCTACCTGCCCTTGTAAAAAGCCCCTCTCCAGCTTTCTCATTGGCCCCTTTAGGCCCTAGAAGCTGCTCTAAGGTCTCCCTGGACCCTTCTCTTCTCCAGGCTGAACAAGCGCAGCTCTCTCAGACTGTCTCCACAGCACAGGTGCTCCAGCCCTCAAGAGCATCTTCATGGCCTCTTCTGAACTTTACTCCAGCAGCTCCATGTCCTTATGTTGGGGACCCCAGAGCTGGACACAGGACTGCAGATGGGGTCTCAAGACAGCAACTTCATTCCTTAAGACTCAAATATGTGGGTGTGTGCTTTGGAATGTTTCCAATTGGGTTTTTTTGACAGCCATCTAATGGGGATGGAGAAAAGAGGCATGGGGGACCAAGTAGGTGTGGGGGTTCCAAGCAGGAGGGAGAAGTCAGTGCTACAGACTCACTTTTTTTTCACTCCCCACTATGGCTGTAGCACCAAGTGCTGCCCTGCAACCACTGCCATTGTCTGTGGGCAGGAGACCTTAGCACTTAGCAGTGCACAGTATATCTCACCTCGTGGTGAAGCCACAGAGAGGAGACAAATAATGATGTGTGAATTACATCAGGACATTTGCCGGTGAAATATGAAATAAGAGCAGTGGTGGCAAATCTGAAGCGCAGGGAAACCCTTCTTCTCAGGGGTAGAGACAGGCCTGAGCAGTAAGGCAAATGGCTAAGTCTGTCTTAATTGCCCACAGGGTGTCAAAGTGGCATTGGAGACGCTTAACAGGAATGCCTGTTCTGGAAGGAAACTCTTCCCCAAACACAACACCCCCTTGACTCCATGGGGTTTTCAGACAGGCAGATATTTTCTGTACACCCCTTGGTTCTGATCCGTATCAGTTCAAGATCTGTTCCTTCTCAATTAAAGAAACAACAAAGAAAAACCTAAACCCAATAAAACCCCACCTAGGTCACAAATAAATTGTTAACAGTTCTCTTCATGCATTTTCCTTCTTAACAAACACTTTTGCTGATCTTGAAGAACTGGAATGGTGTTTTCTAAGATGACGTTTTCTAAGAAAATGTGAGCAAGTTTATTTAGCCCACCAGGTGGCAGGATTAAAAAGTACCAGCAGAATTTAGGAGCAGCTTAATTCCATTAAATGTAGTGATAGCATGAATAGAATGTTGGAGATGACAGGGACAGAAGCTGCAGCACTAGCTGCAACATTATTCTCCAATACAGCTGGGCAGCAGGATTATATTCCCAGTGAAATTAAAACAATAAAAGCTCAAACATTAAATAAAATTCAAGAACTAAGAATTAGAGTAAATAATTAGGGAATTAATGGGTCTGTTTAGATTAAGATCCTCCTCTTCCTCTTGTGCAAAACTCTTTCCGAGGAATTCACAATGCTCCAAATAAAAAAACAAAAAGTCACAGGAAGATTCTTAGTGGGCATTAGATTTCAGCAGATATGGGGTCAAGAAAACATTCAGAGGGAAAGAAAGAAACTCTGAAGACTTATTTACTGGTTTAAATCAACAAAAATAATTTCAAAGTCTGAAAAGTTCTCAAGACATAAAAATAATTCATTGGACACTCAGGACATGATTAAAACAGAGGTAGCTTTAATGCTGCTTCAGAATGAAGAACTTAAACTGAAGTTAAAAACATATAAAGATTGGTGTATGTTCATCAATTTAAAACAGTACAGTCTTTTTAAAACCCGTGTAAACACCATACAGCATTGTGACAGGATCTTCTGAACGTATTTGCTGGTACTCAGTCAACATTCCTTCTGACGCTTCATTTTACCAGTTCTATTAACATTGCCACATCTTTCATTTGATTCTTCATTAAGTGAAATCAGAGTCGTGAAAGGGTTTAAACATCTCTCCTCTGAGTGAGGAAACCCTGGCAAAATTAATTGACTACTTTTTGATTCATCTCATAACAAAATTATGACGATGATATAATTGATTCTGTGCTGTTCGTGTTGCTTCCCTGTCTTCTGACTTTAGGCAGTGACGTGTGGCTTCTAGGTCATTCACAAGACTAATTTATGTATATTAAAAATAAACTCATTCCAAAGGCCTTTTGAGTTCATGGAAATGAGTTAATTTAAGAAATAATAACGTGTAGAGAACAGGAAAAAACAAAGCAACAACCAAAAAAAATAAATAGGTGGAAACCAAGGAGAGAACAGCATGTTACATTTAAAAATAATAGAAACAGTCACACACAAAGTTTTTTCAAATGGTGCAAGAAATGAGGAGAAGAAATAGTTTATATAGAAAAATAATTCTTAAATCTTTGGTAACAATGCATTCTTCAGATCTTTACAGTACTTGGAATCTAAAAAGTCTTCTATTATTCATACAAGTATGTTTCATAATTTATTTCCTAGTGTACTTAACAAAACTTACATAAAGCAGAAATCAGAAGAAAGATATGAAGAAAATGTCTTATCTGAAGAAACATATCTGAATTGGGCTCTAAAACATGTTTCTTAATGAGTGTATCTCATTATTCTGCTCACATAATACCGAATTTCCCAGATAAGAAGTTTGTTTTTCCTTGAGATGTTGTATTTTTTCCATCATTTGACTTAGAAGGCATGTCCATAGTAATATATCTAATTTGAAAACCACCAGCAGTCACTGAAGCATCTGTCAAAAACTTCAAGGTCATCACATTGCCTGTGAGAAGACAAAGTTAAAACAAAGCTTACTTTTTTGGGTGGCATGAAAATGTGGTATTTCAGAGGTAATTGTAAAGTGCTGTTTCTTGCTTCCTTCTGAGATCCTTAGAGCAATCCACATGTTTTGTCTGCTTCCAAGCTGTGACCCGGCATTATTGCAGTTCCATTAGCCCCATGGAAAACCCAGCAGATTTTCATCAGTTTTCTTTGTCTGCAGAGCCCAGATGTTGATAAAATTTTGCTGTACCCAGTGCTTTCTGCAAAGCATTTCCTGTTCTTCAGAATGCTGCTCTGCTTCACTCTATCTATGAAATGTCACACTGTGTGTGAGACACGTGTGGTGCCTCACAAATCTCTAGGTGACACAGAGGTGAGGTTTCTACATCACTCTCCCCCTAGTGTTACCTCCTCATCTCTACCAAGCCTGTGTAAACTGGGAGATCAGGGTGGCACAATTCAACTATTCTGTTCTCTTTCTGCTGATTACAGCTGTGGGCTGGAGTGCAGTAACATGAATTTCTACACGAGACTATCTGTAGATGGCTTGCACAGGTAGTCCTCATGACTTCTGTGCCACAGCAACTTTGTGACGCTTAAGCAAAGGTAAAAGTGGCTTTGATTTCTGTGTGATCAGACCTTGATCTGCTGTTTAAACATACATGCATAACACAATGTCTAAAACTGGCTTTGGAAGTATCTTTGCAGTCCTTGTCCTTGAAATAAGAAACCATCACTGCATGAAGACTGTGTGCATAGGTAGGTCTCAGTCACTAGTTACAGCCCTGCTGCATAAAGACGCCTTCATGAAAACTCCTTAACGTTCATTGGTGTACTACCTCTGTAAATCCAGCAGGATTCACCCTGATTATTTTCTAACCAGGCTGTTTTTCTTTTCTATTTATTTAGAAGTAATTGCACTGACAAACGAGCATGATGGCAGTTTTGAATAGCAGTTTATGACTTGCCAGCCAAGAAGCAGAGATTTTGTCTTTGGACCTGTTTACCATATATTATTAGAAAGAAGGGACAAAAGGTGGTTTTGGCTGATTTTTTTTAAATTTTTTTTTACCATAAAGAGTCCAAATATATATTACCTGTGCTAATAATATCATCTGGCAACTCATCTCCACAAAACCTGGAAAAGAATACAAATGGTCACAATTAAACAACAGCAAATATTCCATATTCCCTCTACACGGGGACCCACACAGAACAGTAGGTTTCAGGCTGTACTTTCCTTTGGAGCTGTAGCTCACGGGGCTAAATTTGCTATAGGTATTCAGTGTATGTAATTCTTCACTACAGGTTAATGCGATTGCCTGAAGAATTTTTGTCATGTCAAGTTTAGGGAAGGGAGAAATGCAGCAAATGCTTCAGTTTATGCAGCAAGTAAATGATGTAGAAGAAGAAAAAAGAGCATTTTAACAAGACATTAAGGAAAAGAACAATGGCTTGATGCTAAGAAAGGAGAAACATTGTCAAGAAAAAACATTAAAATTAGCTGTAAGGGCAAAACAAATTGACTATATCCTTGCTTTGCTACACACGATTTAGAGAGAGGATGGGAAAAGTGACAGGAATTGGAACTGGGCTTTATCACTTTTTGTTCTGGACTTCATACCAAAATCTGACTGCTAAAAGACAAGGAAAAATATGACATGGAAGAAAGGCAAGTGAGAATTATGCAAAGAGGGAAACTAAATGTATCAAGAGAGAAGATATGTAGCACTTGTTCTGATCTGGTATCATTAGAAAATATTTTACCTCAAGTTACATTTTTGCTAACAGTTTAACACCCCACCTCCCTCCTTTCAGTTAAAGCAAATACAAAATACTAATTGACATTGTTAAGGGTTCTTCCTGTAAAATAACAAGAGAATTAAGGTAAGAGGCTAAGAAGTCTTGCACCTTTTTTCATGTAATTTAACAAAGCAGAAGACTGCAAAGTGCAATTCTCTGAAACCTTTTGTAGGCTTCTGTTAATGACAGTAAGGATAATGACAGTGAAGATAGGTCAGGTACTTCTGCTTCAAGTATTGCAGGCATAACAGAGATGCTAATTGTATGAGCTAGTACAGTGTTCTTGTGAAGTAATGTTCTGGGGGAAAAAACAAATCACTTGATTATTTGCATATTAAAGCTGGATTTTCTTTACCTGCCCACAAAGCCGTTGATATCATCGTAGCTATCATAGATTTCCAAGAAATCAGCCATACAAGCAGTGTCGTCTTCAACATCAAACTCAAGAAACTGTAGATGAATACGTTGTCCATACTTTACTCTAATATGCCAGTAGCAAATTTGCTCATTTTCATACTCATTTGGGTAGCCTGGTGACTTAAAAACATGTTTGGAATCTGTGAAGACTCCACCACACTCTTTTCCTAAGAGAAAAATAATTTAAAAAAAAAAAAAAAAAGAGAGAAAAATGAAAACATCAAAGTTTAAGTATTCATTGTGGGTATGGCTGTGGTTTAAATCTTTGGGCACTTTTCCCCAGCAGAGCATTAGAAAAAACACAGAGGAACACCCAGTGTGATAGCACTTTTCATATATTTAAGCACTCAGCAGTCACAAGAAATGTTAGTCATTCCTAGCTTCTGGGAGCAGATATTTTGGAAACAAGAGGAATGATCCAAAACTCACTGAATTCCCAGGAAAAGCTTTCATTGATTTCAGTAGACTTTGGACCAGAGCCAAGTGTTTTATGTAAGAGGCATTAGGGATTTCTAGTTATGTCAAACTAAGCTTTTCAGCTGCACTTGCAAGTCACCCTGACATTCAGTTCCATCCTTTTTTTTTCATCAAAACCCTCTTGAAAGTGTGTCTTCTACAAAAAAACTTATAAAGGCTAATGATCACATACACTGCATCATTTCTGTTATTTCTGCACTCTTCACTCCCTTCAGGATGTCTCCTTTGGGAGGAAAAACCCTCAGTCCAGTTTGATTCAGTGGCCATTTGGCCTTTACCAGCTCCCTGACAATGGGACCAACCAATCTGGGGACCTCACCCTGCCTGACTTTTAGGATTTGCCATTGTTCCCCAAGTTCAGACCCAGAGAAGAGAGAGGTACTTTTTAAGGGTGATTCAGGGCACATGACTTAGAAGCTTTAAGCTGGAGAGTGTGATTAAGCCTTTATATTTGTCTAGGATTTCTGTACTTCTCAGCTCCAGATCACTTCTAGGTGAGATGTAAATTTCAAACAGTTCCATAAGTTCCTCTTGACATCTTTAGCATCCTGGAGAAAAGCATAGGCTCTGTTCAGAGATTTGTCTTTGTACCCCCAGGCTACTTGTCCCTAACCTGCAGACAACTCTGAGAGGCTTTGTAGTAAGTCAGGCTTTGTGAATACATGTCCTTGTAATGGGAGAGACTCCCTGGTCTGTGATTGTTGGCAGTAATGGTTTCCTTTTCTCTAACCAGTGCACTTCGAAAGCAGCTACCTCTCAGCCCATTGGAGGAGGCTGACAAAGGAGAAAGCCAGGCTGACAGTTTACATGCATTAATAATGAATGAAGTAGTTTTTCTTGCAGTTCTCTTTGTATGCTGAACATCTGGGAGTGTCCCCCACCCCACAGAGCTATTTGATTTACAACTACCCAGCTCACATAAACAAGATCAAGCCCTGTGAGCACAAACAGAATGTGCACAGCTGTACAGACGTCATGGACAACTCCAAGTTTTGGCTCTGCCAGGCAGGGTAGTTCACTTGGAGTAGATGGAGAGCCAAGCAGTGAACAGTTAAGCTTTGCTTTTCTTCTCGGTGCCTACGTTTTCTGTCCTATACGAAACAACATCAAGCTAAACTGAAATAGTGGCTATGTCAATATTTCAGTCATCTGCAGTGTAGTGAAGGAGGGGAATGGAGAGATGTCCCATATCTAGTGAAGCCTTGTCAGTCATCTTCAAACTATGTCTTCAGCTCTGCTTTGGAGATTAGCTTTTCTCCGTCTTGTTACACATGTGCACACACACGCAAACACACACACAGCACTGCTGGGAGCTGGATCTGTCAGGTGTTTCAGTCACAGGCACAGCATTCATTTTCAAAAGTTGTTCTGTCTCAGGCTCAAGAAAGGAGGAATAAGGATTAACAGTAAATTTAGTTTGTTTACAGGCAAAGCATCTGAAAAAGGGTTCCAATTTTAAACACCTCCTATTAGTTATTTGAATAAAAAACCAAAACAAGACATTTGCACATCTCATTGGAAACATTACTTACTTTTTCTGCCAACAGCAGCATATCATTACATTTTTAGTTTCTGAAAGGTCTTTGGTTAGGCCCTGTCATATATGGAACAATGTGGTGCAGAGACACTGAGCTCTGTGCAAGCCAGGTCAACTGTAGGTAGCGACAGAGAGGGCCTGGTGCAAGGCTCCAAATAAATTTGTCTCAACATGGTCCCCTTCTCAGACAGCATGTTTATGGCATTGAAGCTAATTAATTCAGAGCCTGTGTGCCTTTGTGCAGCCAGGTAGCATGGCATATAGCCATAACTCCAGACCTGATGAGCAATGGGTTGTTTTTAAACGCACCATTTGGGTTGTAGCAGTAGGCATCCCATCTCTCACTTCTGTTGAGGCGAATCCCGTAATCAACAATACCAGTTTTTCCAAAGCCACAGTTGGCTCCAGCTTTTACTATGGGATAACCAACTCTGCCCTTTGCCATCCAGCCAGCAGCGCATACATGGAATCCTGCAACGGGGAGAAAATGAGACATGGGTGTGGTACACTTATCCTAGGCAAGAAACGTTGCTTTTTATTCAACTAAGTTAAGCCTTATTCAAGCTCATAAATTACTTCTGTGTAATTGGCCTAAAAGAAATTGAACTACAGGAAAGCGCATTACCTTGAGAAAGTAATTTTAAATACAGAATATAAAATTTCATTGTGTTCTCCACAATATGATTATTGGGTCTTAATTTGAAAACAAAAATCAAATGCAGATGGACTATATAGTTTCCTGGGTACTGAGTTTTAAGTTCTGTATCAGAATTTGTAATCAGATTATGTGTTGGATGAGTAATATAAGTGTGTTCACTGTTTCTCTTTTCAAGTCATACAAATTTAATCATATTGTAAGAGTTTTGAGCAGTAAGTTCTGAGAATGAATAAAATACTACGTACAAGAGACACTTGAGAAAACAAAGAATTTACTTAAAATCCTTCCAAGTTAACCTGAAATGCCTCATGTATTTCTCGCTAAACAAAACGATCCTGTTAATGCATTTTGTGGCTGAGAACTTAGAAACAATAGCCAAAGAATGCAATGTTATTCACTGTCTGGTAGAGACCAATTCAATGTTTTCACCAAGATGAACTGGAACATATTTGTGGCGTCCTAGGAATATGAGCTACTCAGAAGAGACAAAAGCACCCTTCCTACATGTGTGCTACTGCTGAGAGCCAGCTTCTGACTCAACAACATACCCTGCAAACTTTTAGAGTGGATTGTATTTTCCATTGTTTTCCCAGTGCTCTGAATGAATTGATAGTTTCTTATTAGGAATCAAACAGAAATAGAGTATGCTTCACTTTTCACTCCAAGCACACTACTCACCCTCTCTCAGAGCAAATATGGCTGGAATAAATACTGTGAAAACCTCTTGACTGAGATGAAAAGCAGCAATGCACATTTGCTACAAAAGCTCCCTGGGGATAGATGCCTTCCTTTGTAGCCCCAGCAGCACCTAGGTGCTGTAACTGTGGAGGTGCCATGGGTTCCCAGCTCAGCTAGACAGGTCTCTGCTTGGTGCTGCTGGTTCTGGGGCCGTGCTTCACCCTGTGCTTGGGGGGGGTGTGTAGCATCTCATGCAGATGTTATACCTGACAGCTCTGTGGGTGGTGCAGTTGTGCTTTGTTACTGAGAGGGGAAACTACACAACTTGAGCCAAAATCCAGGGAGTTCACAAGTCTCTCAGTCCCAAAGTTCGTAACATTCATGAAATTACAAGGCTGGCAACATTATGAATGAGCACAATGTGGAAAGCAAACAGCTACGGTTTTTTTTCAAACCTATTTTTCTTGCCGCCTCCAGCTGCTGATATGTGGCTAGATGTCCACCCTCGTATTCGCAGACTGCTTTTGCTTCTGCATAGGTAAGCTGGTACTTCCCAGAGCGTGACTCCCTGTGATACACTCCAGCAGCTCGTTCTGTGTGACCAAAGCGAGAAATGATATTTAGATTAACAAGACCTTAGAGCAGTCCACCAGTACCTAAAGGGCCAACAAGAAAGCTGGAGAGGGACTTTTAAAAAGAGCAGGCTGTGATAGGACAAGGGGGGATGGCTTTAAACTGACAGAGGGGAGATTTATGTTAGATATTAGGAAGAAGTTCTTCACTGTGAGGGTGGTGAGGCACTGGCAGAGGCTGCTTAGAGAAGCTGTGGCTGCCCCTTCCCTGGCAGTGTTCAAGGCCAGGTTGGACGGGGCTTTGAGCAACCTGGTTTAGTGGAAGGTGTCCCTCCCTGTGGCAGGGGGCTTGGAACTAGGTGATCTTTAAGGTTCCTTCCAACCCACACCATTTCCTGATTCTATGATTCTGTGATTTCAGTATTGTATCTCGGGTGACCCACCTTCCAGTGTGCTCTCACCACCTGCGGTGGTTTCCCCAAGACCTGTGCTTTGGGCAACTGTCCAGGTGAGAAGAGAAACAGAATGTTCAGCTAGTAGCTGTGCCACTTAGAAAATGTCAGGAAAATATGATCCTCCCAGCCCAAAGGCATGTTTTTGTAACCCAAAGGTATGGTTTTGTTTGGGAGAAGTTTTGAACAACAGAGCTAGTCAGAGGTTGGCGAGTTTTTGAACAACAAAAAATCAACAAAAGCAGTGAAGGACTCCCCTAGGAGTATGCAGAAAACAGTAGTTATGGGAACGATCGGCTGGTGTCAGCATCACTAGGTCTGTGTATCAAATCTGGCTCAGGAGGAGCTCCTTCTGGATTGCTATCACAGCATACTTTTGGATGTAACTTTTAGTGTCTTTGTAAGATGAATCAGAGCTTTGTTTTGAATCTCCAGAGAAGTTAAATCAGAGCTACTTGGATAGACGAGAGGCAGAAATTAAAGGGAATAAAAATGTGAAGTAAAAATATCTGAGCTTGTGTCACAAAGGGCAGTACCAGAACAATTGCTGGCTGACATTTCTGCTGTGCAGAAAATTAATGCACTTTCTTCATTATCTTTTTCTTTGCTGTTGCAAGTACAATATAAAGCAGCTTTCCAGGGAAACATAGAAACTGTCAGTACAACTACAAGTTTTATAATCTTTTTATGTTGCGCTTGTCTGATGCCATATGTACAGAAATCTGTCTGGGAGCCAATCTGCACATCTAATCTGAATATCAGTTTTGTTTAGATCTTTCTTATATTTAGTATAATCTGAGAAATGGTTGTCTGTAGCTACCACTAGCCAACATGACTGAAAAAAGACTCAAAGCAGGAAGCATTTGTTACAGTAGCTATTTGTACCATGGGGGGAGGGAGAAAAGAAAGTCTTTTCTAGGGACATGTGTAGTCAGTAGTTTTGGCTAGGTTAGGGTGTTTTTTAGAAAAACATGGTCACCACTGAATTGTGGTTAGCAATGGTGAGATCCTTTATTAGATACAGAATGATGTTTGCCAGTGTAGTTTTTGGACCTGCAGTCACTGGCCTGGTGCCCAGGGAAGCAAATGATATCGCTGACTATAGTCTCAGAAGACTGAGAGAAGTAAAGAGCCGCTTTCTGTAACATCACTGGGAATGTTACTGGCATGGGCATGAGATAACATATATTAATTCCATGGAAAAATCTTCCCAAAGAAGCCATTTCCATTGCAAAGAAAAGTCACAGATTCATAGAATCACAGAATGTTTTGGGCTGGAAGGGACTTTAAAGATCATCCAGTTCCAAGCCCCCTGCCGCAGGCAGGGACACCTTCCACTAGACCAGGTTGCTCAAAGCCCAGTCCAACCTGACCTTGAACACTGCCAGGGACAGGGCAGCCACAGCTTCTCTGGGCAACCTGTGCTAGGGCCTCAGCACCCTCACAGGGAAGAATATTTTTCCTAATATCTAATCTAAATTTACTTTCTTTCAATTTAAAGCCATGTTATGTTAAAAAAAAAATCTATTTTAATTAAAAATTTATTTAGAGGAAGTACTATTTTTCATTCACTCAGTAGTCTATCGTGTATAAACTGATAAATCCATACAATGTTTCTTTACACGATGATTGTATTGGGTTCAGTATGCATGAATTGGAAATCCCAGTATTGCAGGAAATAGCACAGCTTTTAGCCTCACTGTACACTCAGGAGACAGCCTGACATTGACATTATCGATCACTGCATCACACAGCAGTCCTTGGAATTAGCTGAGCTGCCCCACTACACTGAGTCAAAAAGGAAGGGGCAGCTGAATTCTAAGATTTGCCACCTTTGCAAAGGTGACCAGTCACAGCCAAACCAAGAGCTGTCTTCCAGCTTATTGTCAGTGATGTCTGCTGATAAAAGCCCTCATCTCTCGCACCTTTGCAAGACTTATCCTGTTCCTTCCCTGGAACTCCTGCTGGAAGTACTTCCAGGGATATGGGGGAAATCACCCCTCCTTGGACTTGTTGCTTTTGGAGCTGACATTAATATCTTACTATCTTCAGTTGTTCTACTGACTTTTCACCTGGCAATGTTGTTTTTAAATCTTATCTCTCAGAAGGTATTTACCCCCACTTACTGACAGTAATATGTCACTACAGACAGGTATTATGTTTTTTGGAATATTGCTGGAAAGATCTGCTCTTCACAGTATCTGCAAGGGCTGCTCTAACAACAGCAGCACCACTGAGTCTTCACACAACACCTTGGTGGGTGGTGTTGTCCTGCTGATAGCAATCACCAATCTGTATCCTTGTTACCCCTTTGTAACATGACAAAAGCAGCCTTTGGGAAGATGGACCACACACACGTACGCTACCAAGCTTGGCGATTTGGTGATGGCTCAGTGTGTCACAGTTTAATGATATGGTATTCCCTGGCAGTATACTCTAATTAACTGATTAGATCTTTCACCAGCATTTTTTTCCCTCCTTTTTAATTACATTAGGGGATATGCTGAAAGATAAACTGTACCAGTAAAACCAGACCTAGGCCAAAGTGTTGTATGTATTAACTGTTATTATACATGTATCTATCTATCTATCCATCTATCTACATCTGTACACATATTCACAGTCAAATTTGAACACACACACACACGCACCCACACACAAATGACTGATGGTTTTTATGAAGACAATACCATGGCTATGGGTTAAAAGCTCCATGAAGTTTTGTTTTTACTTGAAAGTCCAAGCACATGCCTACACCTGCAACTGTGTCCTGTTCATATACCATGGGGCCAGCACTACAGAGCGGGATGTGCCCCAGCTGGGCATCTGCTCTGACAGAGGATTCTACTTGAAGACTGCTCTCTTTACCTGACCTCCCTGAAATCTCTTCTTCCTGGACAACAGTGGGAACTTTCAGAAAAGTTCTTTTCCTCTTTGCCTGAAACCCCTGTTCTGTCAGGGCTTTCTTGACTCACTTTTCTTGTTTGGTTCTTACTCAAAAGGTCACAGGCTCCATGGCTGACAGGACATGTTTCTTCCAACTCAGGTTTCTTAAGATCTCTCCTTGAAGCCCAGAGACTGCAGGATTCTGCAAGGCCAGTGACCCTCTACTCACCCACAGCAGTAGGAGATGGTAAAACATAGCCAATCTTTTCTGCACAAACACAGCAAGCATAAAATTTGGCCTAATAAAGTACCCTGAATATGCATGACACACACACTAAATGCTAAATAAAAATAAATATTTTATTTCTAAGCAGAGGAGGGCTGTGTAGAGTTACTGGCATGGGCCCCTGCTGACGTGCAGTCATACTTAGAGTATTCTGCCAAATGGGGTAGGTATGGCCCCTAAACCACTCTAACATATGGTGTGCCAACAGGGAGGAAATCAGAACACAAAGAGTGCAGTGGCTCTCCTGGGAAGCCTACTTTGTGGTTCTGAGAACTGGCGCTCAGAGAAGCGTATGAGCATATTTGGGCAATCCTCTCATCAGTTCACAATAAACCCTTGGTTATAATGTGCTTGTCTCAAAAAGCGAGCAACTATAAAATTCCATTCACATAAGAACAACATTAACAAGAAGGTGATCCAGTCAGCTGCAGCAGGCCTGCATGCTTACCGAGAAAACAAAAGATGCTTTGTAACGAGAGAAGGAAAAAGACATGAGCATTTCTAGACTGCCAGTAATTCAAGATTTTTTATTTGTGCTGATGATTTGTTGAGGAAGAAAGGAAAAATGAAAAACTCCATTTTCATTTTGGTCTTTGATAGTGCTTTATCAGAAGAAGAGGAGATAAGCAAATCTCGGATGTCACTGCACATTCCTAGGTTTTATTCAAGGGAATGGGGTTTCTTGCTTTAATGCCTGTGCATCATGAGACTGGAGTTATTTGTTTTACAGTTCAAGTTACACTAGCTTTTTTAAAATACGTATGCAAAAGATGCGTATATTGGATGTCTGGGATTTTGCCCAATTTTTCTTCCCCTGTATACAATGTCACTGAATGCCACATGTAATTCAATTAACTGCATTTTGAGGTTTGTTTCTATGATTTTATTGCTGTAGTTACACTAGATGGTGCATTTCTAAAGGAGCTGCAACAGAGTCCTGGAGGCAAGAGTGGTTATTTCAAAGTTGAACACTGTGGTTCCAGATTTTGCATGTGTTTGTTTATTTAGAGAATATCACTGATTTTACTCCATGGTTTATTTTTATTTACTCACATGGTAAATGCTAAAGGCCTAGAAAACCAGAATTTTATTATGTATTCCAGTTAACATTCTGGTTCTTCATTTTAAAGAATGAGATTTTTTTTCCTTCAAATTGACTTCAGTTCATGAAACTGCTTAAACAATCACTGTTATCACAAATTCTTGTGTATGTTGTAGCAGTCCCTAAGTGCCGCATACAGGGTGGCTGGCACTGTGCTGGAGTACTCTTTAGAAGACCACTGTCTTGCTGAGATAAAAACTGTGCCAGAGAATGGGAGAATGGTTAAACCACTGACAGGACTTGTGCATGGCCACGTGCCGTTCTCTTGTGCAGAGACAGTCTTTACAAGGGTACAGGTAAACAAGGGGACTGACTCAGCAAGCTCCTTTGCTCTTCATTCTGACCACAACCCTTTGGTATGGGAATACCCATCACAGCTTGTATAAAATTCACCTTCTCTGTCCCTACCATCAGGGCCTAACACAGCCTCAGTCCTACCTATCTCCTGTGTCTCCTTCCTGTTAAGTCCAGCCAAGAATACAAGCTTTGCTTGTTTTTCACACAAACCTCTTTTCTGTCACTCTTTCTTTGAATGGCAGCCACTTGAGGTGATGCATGAAGCTGTCCTCCCTAGGAGTTCTCCCCAGCCTGAGCACCTTTAGCAACTACATGAAACAGCAGGCATGTTCCAAGTTCAGAAGGAAAGAGAAGTCATTAAAACTGTGCAGTCAAATGGAAAAAAATATAGATCGCATCTCCTAATCATCTGGTTTATATGGTCCTCCGAGAAGGGACCAGAGTCATGTGGCTGCTGCACCAGCTAATAAAGCATGGCCCCAATCCCCCATGAAACATCTGAGCACAACAGAAATGGGTACCGGCTACAGGAATTCCTCAAAGCCCTTAAAGAAACACACACCATTCTAGAGAGGATAAAGGAGTTCTTATGCATTTGTCTATAAAACAGAGCGTGCTCAGTGTGTGCTTGTGTTTTGGCATTCTTTATGTGGCTATATTCTGAATGTGTTTTTCTGTTGTATTGGATAATTATAAGGATCTATTAAAAAAACCTCTAAGAGCTATTTAAACCTACCTCAGGTAAAAGAAACTGTTCCCCCAGCATTTTCTGTAGCCCTTTTGAAATCTTCTTTCCACTGTTTAATGATGTGAGCAAACCAACGGCCAAAGCATATATATTGTTGTACTTTTTCTAGAAAGCTAAGAAATATTATCACTATTATTTCCAGACCATTTAGTTTCATATGTAGGACCCCAGGCATTTGAAGTATGTTAATGCAGAAAGTAATTAATTCCTTTGCCAAATGTTTCTTTTCATACTCGTTTTCCTTCATTAAAAACAACTGTTATTTAACACTGTTTTCACTTTACCTCATGCTGTAAGAAAATGAGTTCAGATGAAATATTTCATACTTACTTTTTCCTGCACTTCAGAGAAATAATACAAACAGTAAGCTCAAAAGGACAAAAATTGCAGTCACTACTCAGATAAAACGATCACCAGTTTCAGTGCAGGATTTTGCTAATATTAATGTGTGTCTCAATTTTGTATTGCTAGGTGCTCATCTCTATACTGTTAGACAAACCTTGACTTTTGCAGCAAAACACTCATGATTAAATTATTTCTTACCTAACCAGATGGAGTTATGCAGCACTCCGTCCTTGAATCCCCATGCTTGAGCCTTGTCCCACAGCAGGGCAGAAAAGAAAATTAGTGCAATCATCTCTTCTGAACTATTAGGCTGTAAATATTTCCTGTTAAAACACTCAGGGTAAACTCTGCTAGCAGCTGGCTAGATCCTATTGGAACATCTGGTAGCCAGATCTTAAATAGTGCTTTCAGCTGTGAGGTCAGCAAGCCTGCTCCAATTGTGCTTGCCGTAGTATTATTACACAATTAAATGTGATGTCTGCAGTCGTCCATGTGACTCACTTTTGGCTTTCTTGATTCCCAGTGTGTCCAAGAAACTGTTTTAGCCCTCACTACGGCAGCACACATGAACACTTTTCAAGCCAGAATCTGTTCATTCTTCAGCTCTCACTGTCTTCAAATTCCATAAAACAATAAAACCAATAACCAGTCTATCTGCTTATAGTGTTTCAAGTCACACCATTTACAGGACTGAAGGAAATCACACATACTACCTCTCGTTCTCATTTAAATATTCTGTTCTTTCATATATAACTTGGATTTAATTTCACAGTGACCTAATCAATGAAAAAATGTAAGGAGAGTATTTTGTATTGGCTATTTGAATTCAGTTTCCCTACACAGAATCTGTAACTGGATCTGTAATCAGCATAGAACTGCAAGTGTCAAAAACAGATGCTCTTTGTTCTGCAAGTGGGAAATAAAGCTAAAATCTTCCCCTTGAAACCACAGTTTAAAATCTGATTCATAGCATGACAGCTGTCTTCTTGTCTTCCCTTCTGGCTGAAAGTGAATAGTACAGCTGCTCCTTGCAGATGAGTGGGAGAGTAGAAAGGGGGAAAGATGAGAGGATGGAAAATGGTCTGGTGCTCCACACTCCTGAGCAGCCATTGGAAGACTCTGCTCTCCAGTTCTGATAACATTGGTAACTTCTGAGTCAGGAGCTGTAGAAAAAGATGTGCTCATAAGCATGAACACAACCATATGAAAGTAGATGAAAGGAAAGGGTGGAGGACCCTGTGCCTACTCAAGAATATTTTACATTGATGACTTGTACCAATGAGGAAGATATTTTTCATCACTCATGTCTTAATGTAAAAAGATGAATGCCTGGCTACAGTGTGTACACAGACAACACGCACGTATTCCTCCCACCTACCGCTCAGGCAGATGCCGAAGGGGAGAGCTGTTGAGAAACAAAGCTGAGGGTGAGCCCTTTCCCTGCACCAGAGTAGCAAGGCACCTTCCACCAAAACACCAATGTCTTAACCTGTCCCTCTTCAGCACTCACTGATGAGAGCAAACCCATCTTCCAATAAAGTTCACCTGTGTGCATTCCTGTTTTGCACACCCATGCCTTAACCATTTGAGTTTGAACCTTCAGTGTGCAGTAATAGATGTACAACATATACGTGTATTCTGGGTCCTGACGAAGCTCATGTGCACTCTGATGTCAAGGCCTGGCACTGAGACTTTCCGCTCAGGTATCCCCCCAGGAAGCTGATGACAGCCTGCTGGTTCCCTCTGCTCACCCTGGGACATTCAGGGCACTGTGGGCAATTGCCCTCTTTCCTGCTGTGCAAGTGATCTACCACAGAGCAGGATGCTGGGACCAGGAATACTGCCTGCCAGTTTGTCTACCAGTCTCCACCACACTGATCGCCCCACCATACTGCTTGTCCCACAACACTTTGCAGCTTCTCTGTCAGCAAAACAAGAAAGCACTGCAGAGAGGTATCTCATTGCACAGAGGCAGGAGCCCTACTCTGATTATTCTTTCTAGATTTGAGGGTTGGTGCTATATTCATATGTTTTCTGCTTTAATGCCCAATAGATAAAAGTCCAAGTTAATTCAGCTTCATTCTCTGAAAGCATATTGGTCAAAGTCTGTTGCTTTTTAAACGTTGACATCCAAGGCATGTATCTGAGGTTATCTGGGATGAGTTGTGAAGATGGCAGTATAAACTTTTGGAGTAGTGGTGAACGAAGGAGACAGTGCTGAGTGTGTTGCCCTGGAACATTCATTTTGTATTAGCTGAAGGAGACTGGCACTCAGCCTTTGCTGCTTTGAAGCTGTGACGTATTCATATCTTTTGGGAACCTAAAAACAATAAACAGGCATGAGAGAAGGAATGGAAACCAAAGGAAAGTTTCAACAGCAATATTGTTGACCGGTAAACTAAGAAGACAAATTACTTATTCAGATGAATCAGTAGAATTAGAATCCTCTTAGACCGATGCTAAAATTACTTCTTCTGAAAGAAGTCTGATGTGAATGCCCTTCTCTGCACAGGGCAACTTTCCTCTCTGACATTCCATGTAAATCCCACTGGATGATATTGTAACATGAGTTGATATTCTAATGATCTTAACATCAGAGAGAGGTATCTATGCCAAAGGGAATTGTTCCATTCTCCGGTAGGAGGGTGCCAATCCCAGAAGATCACAAAAATGTCTTTATAGTGACTAACTCATAAAGAGCAAGGAGTGTGTACCAACTTGGAGATGATTTGTAATAGACAAGCATACTGAAATTCTTGAGAAAGACACTCATGCAACAATGAATAAAAAATATTATTTTGCTGAAGTTAACTGTTAATGGTGAAAGGCCTCTGTTAGAAAAAGCAGCTTGATAAGTAAAGGACATAAAATAGCAAAAAGATCTAATCATGGCAGTATCTGAGAACATCTCTTAATGTATACAAGGTCTAATGTTTGAACAAATGTGTACCTCCTTGGAGGAAGAAGGTTGGCTGTTAATATGTCCAAAGACATACAATGGCTTATGAAGCACAGAACAACTGAGGCTGTAAGGCATCACAAGTCGTCATCTAGTCTTGAACTCAGGATTCAGATGTCTATCATCATCTCCTCTAAACAATTCCTCAAATTAATTAACTGCATCTTTGTTGGACAGTAACAAAAGCTCTGCAGTGTTCAGCACACGTTTTATAGTGAAGTGTAATTGGATATGGTCAATTTTGATACTTCAGGAAACAACGAAATGTTTGCTGTTGTGTAGCATTAACATTAGATGAATGCGCCAGACTAAGCGTATGGGTAAGCCTGAGAAGCTTGAAGTTACAATAAAGTAACATTCAGACCTACACATCTGCCTCCCAAGTGAGCTGGAAAGTTTTCATCTGCAAATCCAGGCAGAACCTCTCACCAACAAGAAGGTATTCCACAGCTGTACACAGGCACTTCGAGACATTCATCTGACAGCATTTTCTGAAGTTTCTTCCAAGTTTTTCCATATTTAAATATATCCCGGAAAAATCTTACATAAACTGGAGGGAAGGGCTTTCCTCAACTTGTTGCATACATATCTATGTTAAGAAATGCTGTTTGAAAGCTGTCCTGTGGCTTTGACCATCATTCAAAATGAGCGCCTATCTTAGTAGTTCCCAAACCATGGTGTGAAACCCACAGCGATGTAACACTAATTTCAATAGCAGAGAGAAAAAACAGTCCAGTAGCTTAATAGATAAGCCAAGGATGGATGATAACAACAGTAATGTATGTGGTTCACGAATCTCCTTTGCATTAATTTAAACATTAAGCACCTAAATTTTCATTATTCTTCTATTTATAAGTGAATGAAACCAATGAAAATATTTATAGTTTTCATAGCCTAAGATTCATGTATTACTATCAGTGATAATAGACTATATTACAATCATATTGTTTATACCTTTCAGAACGATATCAAGAATGGTCTATTTAAATGTAAAAGCATGCAGGAGAAGGCCTTTCATTTGGAGGTTTTTTGCAAGAAACTGTAATCTCATTCAAAAAGTTACTTGGTGGGAAGTGTAACAAAAAAGGAGTGCTGGAAAGAGGTAGTGAAAGAATATCTAAGTTTTTCTAATGAGAAAAAAACTAAAATAGCTGATGTGAGAGCGGGGAAGGGGGCCTATAAGGATGCTGCGGAGGGACTCTTAATGAGGGACTGTAGTGGTAGAACATGGGGTAGTGGTTTCAAACTTAGACACGGGAAGTTCAGATTAGATACAAGGAGGAAGTTCTTTAATATGAGGGTGGTGAGGCACTGGAATGGGTTGTCCAGGGAAGCTGTGAATGCTCCATCCCTGGTGGTGCTCAAGGCCAGGCTGGACAGAGCCTTGGGTGACATGGTTTAGTGTGAGGTGTCCCTGCGCATGGCAGGTGAGTTGGAACTGGATGATCTTAAGGTCCTTTCCAGTCCTAACTATTCTATGATTCTAATATGACACCACTAGCTGAATTTACATTGTGGGAAACCAGAGAATAGAAGGGCTGTTTAACCTACAGAAAGGAAAAAGCTCGCCAAAAACAATACCATCCCATTCTATCTTATCCCATCCTATGTTATCCCATCCCATCCCATCCTGTACAGAGTTACATTTAGGCTGAAAAGAAGAAAACATTTTTAACCCAGGAGTCCAGAAAAGTTTTAGAATAGCCAAACAGACAGAACACCAAACCTAATTTGAGATGACATTTGAGGAGAAGCTTGGAACTGGTGTTCTTTGAAAGAAGGCCAATTCCAGTGCTATCTTGTTTTTGATCTCATTTTAAACAATTTTCCTTGTATTTAAACCTTTTCTTTGTTTGTTTATTTGGTTGTTTTATTCCCAATGAAATGAATTGTCAAAGAACAAGATGAAGAATTGTCCCACACCCCAGGACCTCCGTGGAGAGTTTAAGAAAAATTAGATCCCAAACGTATGACATATGGCAGAAATAATTGCACCTAAAGTACTTCTGGCAGATACTTGTGTAGACTGTTTGTATGAACCTGCAGTGATGGCAATTCCACAGCCTCTTGGTGCTTGACTTTATAACATTTTAACTACCTTCCTTAACCAAAACATCTTGCATTAACTAAAATGTTTCCTGCTGCAGCTTCAGCCTTTTTCTTCTTTCTGCTTCAGCAGACCAAAATAATGGCTTATTTACCGCCTCTTAGTAGCAGGAAAGTTATGTTAAACTGTTGCATCTTGCTTCAGGTCTCTCTTTAAAAATAAACAGTCTGTTCTTTTCATCTTTCCTGTAGGTTACATTTTCTAGACTCTTAATGGTTCTTGTTCCTCTCCTCCGTACTCTTTCCAGGTGGCCTGCATCCTTCTTGAAGTGTCATGCCAAAATTAAACAGTACTCCAGCAAAAGACTCCACAGTGTCAGATAGCTCACCGTTATGTCATATATATTCCAGACAATATTTTGGTTTACAAAAAATTAGTTTGGCATTTGCTCTTAGTGAAATTTCCTTTAAAAAGAACAGAACAGGATTTTAAAATACCTGTTTCATTTAAAATGCATTTGACTAGAAGATGCTTTAAGTATGAAAATGCTTTAAAAATGAAGGAAACCAATGGAGATTTGATAGGCCTGAGTATATGAACCTTCTTTTCTAATCTGTCTTGCGTGTATGCTTTCTGTTTCAGTGAAAGGTGAAAAGTGTTACAGAGATGTAGAAACAAGTTGATGAAACTCTTACATTTATGCTTTGGACTAATGAGATACTTCCTGAAAAATTTATGAAACAGGTTTTCTAAATTGTCACACATTTGTTGTACTTGAAGGGAAGGCAGAAGGAATTTCTGATGAAATTTCCTAACTTTTCCTGTCCCCTGTGTGTTCCAGATGATGCAATTTTAGAGGAATTTTATAATGTGAGAACTTATTTGGCCAATGATTATATTATTTATTGTCACAGTGTTAAGTTAATCTTTAGAAGGTATTTTGTCTTAGAATTAAATATTTTAAAACTGACTCCCCTTTGTCTTATAGTCTAATTTCTCACTGGAAGCAGGGCCCATTTTTATCAGCAACATCAATGAGATAAGAATCAACCAATCTGTGTGATGGAACTTTAGGTAAAAAAATAATAAATAGAAAACTTCATATAAAAGTAGAACAAACCAAAAACATTCGGGATTATTAAGAGCAGATGTTAGAAGAGTATAATGGATTCACTTATAAAAAATCTGGGCATTTGCCAAGTTAAAATATTTGTCAGTTGAAGTCCTCTATTGAAATAGAGTCCTAAATAATTGAACCTATCAAAATTAAAAATACATACAGATACAAAATTTACAAGTGTCTCACAGATGTTCTTCTATGGTTACATTTTAAAACGACATAAATACATTAAACACAACACAAAATGTTGTAAACACAGTTTTTAGAGTATGATACTGAAAGGTGGGAATATGGTAGGGGGATGCCAAGACAAACTGGCTCCAAAGATTGCCAAGAAACTCCTAAAAGGAAAAATAACTTGCAACTTTAGCCATTGCAAAGCAAAATCCAAGAATTTCGGAGGTGTTTGTAGAAATATTAAAATTCAATTGCACAATTAATTTATGCAAAGAGTCAGATGTACAGAATTTAGGTCCTTAGAATCTTGAGTTTTGTTCTCTGAATAGTGGGTAACAAACAGCCAGTGGATTAAAAAACATGACCCAGGCCTTTTTCTTCCAGTGTTCATAGAATAATGCTTTTCTCATCCCCTTGGATAGACGGCGTATTTGATTTTCTAGCCAAAGTGGAGCAGCTTTAAAGGGAAACACCAAGAGAGAGTTGCCTCAAAACAGCTATGGACTGCTGACTGGCACAAGCTCCTGTAAGCTTATATGCTTTAAAAAAATGGCTAATTCTAAGAAATCCTCCCATGTGTGAAACAGTAGAGATAAATACTTATGCCAACAAAGGACAGTTATTAAGCTCCAGTGAATAATTATTTCTACAGAAAGGAAAAAATGCTTTTCCTCTCTGACGGTTTATGCATCTATACTAATTATGTGACAACGTGAGTTTTGTGGAACTGCAAGAATGACCCTTGTCCTGGCAACTGTTAAAATACACCAAGTAGACAGAATGAACTAATAACTAAATTAAAGAGCACAGTAAAAACTCATATTACATTTTTGGTAAGGTATTGCACAAGTTGTTGCAAAATTGACAGACTATTGAGTAGAAATCTTTACCACTTTAATTATTTTTCCTTACAATTAAAGTGACTAAGCATTCATAAAGGCTTGTTTTAGTCTTCTATAATTGTAATTATTTCAGTGGCATATAACATAGCACAGACATTCACACTATCTTATCTCTGAGTGTGTAGTTTAAGCATGCAAATTAAGAGCCTTTCCATTAAGTGAGACTCCAATGGGCTTTCACAGCATGCCCACTGTTTTTCACCTGTTTTACTTTAAATTCCATTCATTTGTCCAGCTCATAACATCTTAGAGTTTAAAAACTATTTTCATACCCCAAGAGAGGCATGTAGGGAATCTTCAGAAGGAAGCACTCGCCATGATGTGCCAGGAAGCCTGTCACCAGGCTCTCTGGGCGCTAGCACTCCTTCTGATAGCTCTGGAGTCAAACCGCATAACTCATCTGGGCAGCTTCAGCATTCTGCACTTTTCTATTTTCAAGAGCCATCAGCCACTATATACCACTTCACTCAATTTCTCCCTCTATGAGGAGAGAAATCTCCCTCTATGAGGAGAGCTTTCCTCCTGCTGTATGAGGAAAGGCTGAGAGAGCTGGGTTTGTTCAGCCTTGAGAAAAGAAAGCTCAAGGGAGATCTTATCACCATGTTCCAGTACTTAAAGGGTGGCTAAAAAGAAGATGGAGACTCTCTTTTTACAAGTGGCCACATAGAAAAGATATGGGATAATGGGCACAGATTACTTCTGGAGAGATTCAGACTAGACACAACAGGAAAATTTTTCACACTGAGAACATTCAGCCATTGGAATGATCTCCCTGGGGAACTGGTGGACTCCCCAGTGTTTGGTACACGTAAGATTCAGCTAGACAGGGCGCTGGGATGTGTAGTCTAGGTCATGCTTGGCCTAGAATGGTTTGACCAGAGGATCCTTGAGGTCCCTTCTAACCTGGTGTTCTACAATTCTGTGATTCTCCATTACTTTTATTTTGCTTTGTTATTATCTCACTCCTCATTTTGTACCATACATCAGATTTTGTAATTGAATACAGGGATCTTCCACGGGGATGTCCTTGATAAACCAAATGTTAGCTTCCCATCCTAGATGCTGCCATGGTAGTGGCAGAATCTGTGGTTGGTCTTGCAGTCACCTTTGTCATCTCAAGGGCAGTACCTCCAGTTCCACAAAAGCTAACCTTACACGTTAATCAGCTTTGCAGTATTATGCTAAATTCTTTTCTGAAAACCCAAATTGATGAATATGGTGATAGCATACTCAGAGGATTAGTCTGAGCAGTCATTGCTCAAGATGTCCCTTTATGTCTGCAACACTCATTTCCTACTCCACTGCACATTTATTTTCTCTCCTCCCTCCTGCTTCAACTTCTGAGGAAATCAATTTTCTGTCTTTTCCTAATGCCATGGTGACTCAGTATTTTATCAGCTTTTCTTCTGTCTCATTTCGTTTAGCATGATGTATTAGACCTCTGTCACCCATTTTCTAATCTTCTGTGAAGAGTTAGGATGTGGATTTGCTTATATGTGTGGGCACAGCTCATATCCTGTGATCTCAAGAGAAACAAACTGGTGCCTCTGATCACTGCCTTATGCATGCAATACCATGATTACACCATCCTGTATGGTGCTAACTAATATTCTTGGCATCGCTTTGTAAACCTGGAAATGCCCAGTTGCACAAGTTGGCTGGAAATAGTTTTATAATGGTATAGATTATACCTGCTGCTTCCAAAATGGCAACAGTTGGAGTCTTTCCTCTAGGTAGTCACTGACAATCACCGTCAGCATCTTCACTAAAGGAATAACCTGCTCGCAATCTAGACCTGTGAAAAGAAGCAATCCCCAGCTTTTGCAGTCTGACACACGATACTACTGAGTCATTTATTTGCTGTGGATAACATCACACTTTCCTCTCCTAATTGTTCTGTGTTTTATATGTTTATTTATTTCCTATGGCTGTGAGCCACTGTCGCCTTCCCAGATTATTTTGATGCACATGTGTTTTTACGGAGTTGGTATTCTCCTTGCTTTACATTTTTTTTAAGGTATATTTTATTTGTCATCTTCCTCACTATGAAAGAAAAAGGTCTATCCTATTCTATAGTAACATCTCTCTCCATTAAGTTATTTTTATATGACTGTGGTCTTGAATTACTCCTCTTTACATGGTTATGAAAATTGCTTTTTACTTTTTTCACATACTTGGCAGACTGTGATCAAATTTCATTTTTATAGGTTTTTTTTTTTTTTTAATTTTCCATGCTTTTAGTATGCCAGCTCCCAGTTTTGGGCCATCCAGCATACCATTACAATAACTCCTTCCTAAATAAAAATTCAAATTGGCAAAGCAATCCCTTTCAGAAAAGATTAATTCAATTGCACAGATATGTCTATAAGCGATAGTTCTTTTAAACCTATATCATATACAACGTGTAAAAAATGGGCAATAGTAACCCAGCTAATTGCTGTTAAACATTCTTAGTCATTCTGAGGTTTCAGCAGCATTACAACTGATATTCATTTCGTATTTGTCTTGCTAAGAGAGAACCAACAGTAAATATTGCTAAATACCACTCTGGACACAGTAGAAAAAAATGTCACAATGGGACTGTAAATGGAAAATCAGAATTTTTTGTCACTTGAAGAAGAAAAGGTAAAAGGGGATTCTTGCAGATCTAACAAACAAGTAAGTCAGAAAGATTTCTTTTCTCAGTGAAAGGAATCTTTAAATAGTACTACAGAAAGTGCCTACTGTGATACAGATTTCTGCACTTTGAGGTGCAGACACATGAGTACACAACTTCAGAAAACCTTTGCACTATCTCAAGTGACAAAACTGTGACCTGTGTCTAAGCCAAAAGCAAGACGATATCAGAAGTCTAAAATTCAGTATCTTTAAGTATGCAATTTCAGTCTGAAGGAGGAAAAATAATCAAAGACTGTCCTTGATAGCATTGCCACAATGGATCATCCCAATGAAAACTAGGCTAATTTTTGTTTACTTCTTGCTACTCAAGCTTTCCTTTTTTTTTTTTTTTCATACACGTACTTCAATACAGGCAAAATAAGTGTGCGTTCTGATACTCTGTTGTTTGCAGAACAGCTCCAGGTATCTTAAAGGAATCTCAGTCCAAATTTAGCAGGGTATTTGAAGAGCCAGAAAGCTGGCAGTTTAAGCAGAAGGACTGCAGCTGTCATTCCAGGAACTGTCCTCACTGAATATTAACAGATGCATCAAATAAAAAAAATCAATATCCCAAATTTAGAGCACTGTAATGCAGCTGTAGAGCGAATGAATCATGATTCCCCAAAAGCTGGGATGATACAAATCTTACCGAAACTACTGAATGTTGAATATCCCATACTTGGATGTAAGACCATTAGTGCCTACACACTCATGCTGGGAAAGGTAATTACTGAGAAATATCTGTGCAGAGATCCAAGTAAAGAAATAAAACCCATGAATTTTCTATTTGCTGGCCAAACACAAAGAAAAAAACATAAAAAAGAATAAAGTTGTCTGTTATTTCAAAATAGAAAGTGATTTTTTAGTGAATCAGACTGATTTTGGATCAAGTTTTTTATTTTGAATACTTATTATTCATTTCAGGTTTTAAAACAATTTAACTGTGCAAAATCGCTATTCAAAAATGTCTGAAATGAAAAATTGAATGGTTTCTTTTTCAAAATATTGGAGCTCTTTCAGTATATTTTCTCACTTGCCGTGACTGGTTTTTACCCAAATGTGTTAACAGTTTTCTCCTCCCTAAAATTGTTGGTCAATTTTCTTGGTGAGATAATAAAAATACTGTATTTTAAGGCTGCCTTTAGCTGTCATTTAGATATTTTAGATATTGATCTAACATGCAACCATAATGACTTGACAGAGCTAAACCAAAGTATCAGAAAAAGAAAAGAAAAAAAAAAAGAGAAAAAAAAAGAAAAAAAGAAAAAGAAAAAGGGAAAAGAAATACAGAAAACCAACCCATGAAGTCTTATATTGAAATCATGGAGGGCCTGTCTGTGGAAATGTCTCTTGGAGAAGGAAGTGGGATTTCCACAGAAGAGTAAGAGACAGCCATGAGTCAATCCTTGGCTTCACACTGCGTGTTTCAACAACAAAGAGGCAAAAGAAATCAAATTACATGCAAATATCTGCATGCAGTCTATTCAGCATTCTGCAACTTGTGCTCTGCCAAAAGACTGAAGGATGGAGGTAGAAGCTGGGAAAAGAAGTTGAGTTCTCTAAAAATGTGAACTTTTCATTTTTACTTTCTCAACAATTTTCCCTGTTAGGTTTGTTAAAGCTTACAGAAGGTAAAACTTAGAATGTCAAAACATAATTTATGAAAGCTAGGGTTTGTCTGAATTGGGGACTGAGTTGACAAAACAGTGGTGTTAATAAACTAAATCTAATACATTCAATTTTCATTAACAATTTTCCAGGCAAAGTGGTCCTCCTTCACTATTTAGAGTTCTGAGTTTTTCCAGTAATATGCCAAGGCCAAAGCTATATAATACTGGGATTACTTTACAGACATATCCTCTACATAAGCAATTCTCATATTTTAATTTACACACATTTACTTTTTAATTTATCTCAGCTATACCATGGCTTTCTATTTAATACAGGACCTTATCTGCTTTACAGTCAAGAGGTGTTGCTTTCCTGAAGAATGGCATGTATTAAATAAAATTTGGAAATTAAGAAAAAAGGTGGAAATCTCACAATCTCTTTCAAAAAGTATTTCCAGAGACTAAGGCACTTATTTAAACATTCCCCAAAAGGTGATCTTGATAGAGTGTTCATTCAGAATCCTGATGACTACAAAGTCTGGCAAGATACATAAAAGATCATTTTTTAATTTATTTTTTTTTTTTCATACGTACAATTTCAGAATCTGCTGTTCAGGGCAGAGACAGACCAAAGAAACATTTTGCCCTCTGTTGCAGTCTGTGTTATGGCCACTGCTTACCCTGGGACACATCTGGGATTTTCAGAGGCAAAGGTTTTTTTATTCCTAAGGAATATGAGCAATAAATTTCTATTCATTCATCAAATAAAATAAAAGCATGGAATGATACTGTTGATAGGCACATCTCCTCTAGCCCCTCTCCTATTCTCCTTTCCCTCTCATTTACGTCTTCTGCATGTAAAATGGCCCACCCACTTGAATTTGTTCTGCCAATATAAACCAGTAATTCTCACTGAAACACTAACGCTGTTATTTGGAAGAAGTATTTAATTAACATGCAGTGATTTATAGCCGAAGAACTGGAATGTGATTCAAGCCTAACAACGTGCATCTTGGATGATTTCTTCTTCATTGTTTGCTTTCTAGCGGTCGTGCTGGGACTATTTACTAAACCACTGCATTGCCTCATAGCTCTCTGTTCTGGGATACATGTCTTAGGGAAGCTGAAACATTCCCAAGTCCTGCTGGACATACTTCAGGATCCTTCCTGTAAATAATGTAGATTGGTATATTTATTTTTGTAATTTTGCTTGTGTTGAAAGTGGATTTGTGCATTTATAAGAGGTAGATATTTGACATCTAAAGGTGCTGAATGTTATCATCAGGTATATTTTTATCTCCTGCCTTGCAGGGAAAAAAGACTGAAAAAAGGACTATGTCTTGAGATGCCTAAAACATAGGCTCCTTGAAACAACACATGGAGCCCCCTCATGATGCTGAAGCACCTTATACCACATCAGACAATGAGGCTGTATTTTGAAGAGTGCTTTAAGCCATGCCATGCTGGCAGCACTACTGATATTAGCTGTTATTCACCCCTGCTGAGCCTACTGACCCTGCTGCAGACCACCCCCTCCTGGAATGGCACACTCTTCTCTGACCACAGGATGGACTGGATTTGAGAAAGCAGCCAGCTAAAACCAGCTTTGTTCAGTGTTCATTTTTAAGATGGGTCATCTCCCAGTATGGATTGCCACATGGTTGCACAAACACTCTGGATACAGTAGCACAGGGAAATGAAGGGCAAACAGGACAGCTTCTTTGGAGACACCACCATCCATGTGTTCTGGATATCTCTTTGACATCAAGGTCTGACGAGCTACAGACTTTGGTATATCAGCAGTGAGATCCAGAACTATCATCATGGTGATTTTCGATGCTGCTTAGAAGTCGGTGCATTGCCCGTCATCTACAGTTACTAAGAATACAGTAACTGTAAGGTTCAGATCTGCTCCTCTCCAGGGCCTGGCATTGCACCAAGGATAGAGAGATGAAGTTTCTGTTTTGCTGGGGTTTGTAGTTTGGTGGTTTTTTTCCCAGTAGCTTAGTAGGGATCGTTAAAGATGGGAGGTGGTACATCGATCATCATTCCCTTTAGGTGCTGGGCAAAGTGCAAAGGATTGGGAGATCTGCGTTTACTAAAGAGAGGTCAAGCCCACTTCTCCCAGCTGCTGATATAGTGTTCTGACCACATGATACTGGTTGCTCTGGAATTTGGGGTCTTTCTTCTCTCTCGTAGAATGCGTGAAAACTTCTCAAAGAACACAGGAAAAAAAGCATTGGTAAACAGGAATAATTATAGTACCTTTCTTAATAAGGAACGCATTTGTGTGATAATGTGTGGACAGAACACATGAGCAGATCCATAAGCACCTAAATTCTATCAACTTCCCTCTTTAGATCTGTTCTAACTATAAAAGAACCAAAATACTTTACCTCTGAAGCTAATGCCAATAAAATTCTTAACAGTTACTGTCCAGAAGCTCAAGTATGGTCAAATTGGTTTAGTACCAATAAACGGCAAGCTTATGGCTGCAAACCTTCCAGCTTAATCATAGTATTTCCTGCTGGAGATGAGTCCTAACTCTATGCTGCCAGAAGCATCATGATTTTCTTTTTAAGTTTCTGGTTCAGATTTCTAAGCTTATCAAGAGTTTTTCAGACTTCTGAAGAACAAGTTTGGTAACAGCGCAGACTGCTCAGAAAAATCCAAAGAGTTTTAAAACTTCTTGTATTCTACATTATATTTTACTCCTTGATGTTCCCCTTTAGCTAGACTCTTCAGAGTTCTGAAATCAATGCTCTTCCCTTTACTCTTACTCATATGAAGTTAATACTATAAATTCACAATGCATAGAAATCAATTAACGTATGAACTCCAAATCAACTCCACTTCAGTTGGGGAACTTGGCCCAGGTCAGCATCTCCAATAAATTTCCTTCACCAAACAAACACAAACACACTGTTCAGCTCAAATCCCAAAGCAGGCCATGTAAACAGATTGGCGTTGCTGCATTCCCTGGAGTTTAGAGAAATACAGCTCTTGCAGATCAGCAGTGACTTCCCAACATGACCATGGTTACTGGAGGACAGCCTGCCACTCTGACATTTAAATCTAAAATCTAATGTGCTTAGGTCATAACATAATCACCTCCTCCTCCCTGGCTACTCCAGCTAAACCTCTCCCTTTTACTCATCTCATTAGTAACCAACTTTGTGTTTATAAAGCAATAGTAAACATAGCTATCCATTGTCAAGGCAGAAAATAATAATAAAGTCATCCATTTATCTTAAAAAGCAGATAAGGACATTTGAAACTGCCATAATAATTACCCCATGAGTAAAACTCCCCCTGAATTCTGTGGCACAAAGTGACTGCAGTCCAAGCAGGGAGCAATCCAAGATCACCTTTGTATAGCCAATGAAAGCAAAAGCTCTGAAAACTTTGATCTAGCTGCTTTTGCACAGGCCTTCTCAGGTCTGCATGCAGAGCCCAACCAATTTCACTGCAACGCCTTGCTGCTATACAGCTCCTCCTGCTTTTCTTTGAAAGCTGGAGTCCACATCTGCAAAGCAACAAAGTCAGCTTGTACTCTTTCTCCAACTATTTGGTGTATTTTGAATTTTTGAGGATTAATTTCTTTAACATTCAGTGCTGATTGACTGTTAACCATACAAAATACTTCGGCCAATGAGTACAAGCCTGTTTGCATTTCTGAGGGTAACATTTAAGAGATTAGTCAGCTTAGTTTTAAAGGAAACCTGAAAGCAATATGCTTTATTATTCTTGGCCTAGGACACAGACATTGCCCAAATTTTGTTTATAACTGTAATGCACCTATTATAAGTATTTAAACAGATAATGAGTCTTGAATTCAGTCAGCTGTGTCTGAATGGCTGGCCATAATCCAGGGTGCATTGCGTGCTCCTGATTCCAAGAGCTATTAGTGGAAGATACTGTGGGGCACTTTCCTTTCATGCACCCATGCTGAAGTGCAGCTTTATACCTGCCATTTGACAGCTTGCATGGGGAGAAGTCCAGTCTGTCCTAGCAACATAATCTGCATGACAAAGTGAGTCATACCAGCTCTCAAGGGATTTCTAAGAGACTCTTTAGCTACCTACATGAAGAACAATCACAGAATCATAGAATAGTTAGGGCTGGAAAGGACCTTAAGATTGTCTAGTTCCAACCCCCCTGCCATAGGCAGGGACACCTTGCACTAAACCATGTCACCCAAAGCTCTGTCCAACCCGGCCTTGAAGATGGCAAGGGATGGAGCATTCACAACGTTTTTGAGCAACCCATTCCAGTGCCTTACTACCCTTACAGTAACAAACTTCCTCCTTATATCCAATCTAAACTTCCCCCATTTAACTTTGAACCCGTTACCCCTTGTCCTATCACTACAGTCCCTGATCAAGAGTCCCTCCCCAGCATCCCTATAGGCCCCCTTCAGATACTGGAAGGCTGCTATGAGGTCTCCACGCAGCCTTCTCTTCTCCAGGCTGAACAGCACTGTCTTTCTCAGCCTGTCTTCATACGGGAGGTGCTCCAGTCCCCTGATCATCCTCGTGGCCCTCCTCTGGACTTGTTCCAACAGTTCCATCTCCTTCTTATGTTGAGGACACCAGAACTGCACACAGTATTCCAAGTGAAGTTTCATGAGAGCAGAGTAGAGGGGCAGGATCACCTCCTTTGACCTGCTGGTCACGTTCCTTTTGATGCAGCCCAGGATACGGTTGGATAACTTGTGTTCTGCGGGGCAGCTGTAGTCTCCTGGTGCCTCTGGTGAAGGGTTCTGTGGGGTTCGGTGGCCTCACACACCTGAATAAAGGGTGTTCCAGAATCAGCCACCCCTGTGGTCCCCATGTCCCCATGGTTATTGTGATGCATGAGCAGCTCTGGCTGGGTCCATTGGGTGCTCTGGAGGTGCTCCAGGGTTTCTCTAGGGGTATCCCCAGGATGCTCTGGGGGTGCTTTAGGGATCCCCGTGGCCAAAATAAAGCCCAAATCCCCACCACATGCTGAGTTCCCAGCACCCTATATACCCAGGCAACTCCCAGCCCCACTGCCCAGTGCTCACACCCACCCCCAGCATTCCCCAGCACCCTGGGAGTGCCCAGCCCCAGTGCCCAGAGCCTTGGGGCTCTGCAGACCTCCAGCCCCTCTCCCTACTAACCAAAATCATCCAGTAACTAAAGCCTTTTGCCCTCCCCTGCAATGGGGAATCAGTGCTTTCTCTTCTTCAAACTGATCGTCATGGAAATCATAGTGGTTTTGTCTGGGGTTGTTTTGCTGGTTTGTTTTGGGTTTTTTGTTTTTCTCAAGGCACCTCTTTCCTGAAATCTTTTTAGAAAGTGAGTGCCCACTGGCTAACACTGCAACCATAAATCACCTCACACCAGTACACATTTCATGACTTCTCTAAACTGACTCACATGCATGATAAAGCTCTCCTCCCCTTCTTTCCCTGTGCTGGCATTAGCAGTTGTGGCCACAGATCTGGGAACTGATCTGTTCAAAGATGGGTTTTTTTTTTTGTGAGGGGGGTAAAGGAGGTAGTTGCCACATTGGTACTCCAATCCAACTCACTGAGCACACACTTAGGTCAGACAAAAGACTTGAAAAAAACTCAAGACCTTAAATACTTACTGCAGAATAAAGTTGGTGTTGCCTATAGACTTCCCAGCAATGACTTTGTTGCCCAATTCTAGGTGCATCTACCATGGATCATTTTTATGAACCTAAATACTGAAGAGTTTATAAACCAATCATGCTCTTCTAGGAAGGAGGATGGATCCCTTTACTTGATGAGTGATGGCTGCCACCCACTGCCCCGTGTCCCACCTCACCCCCCTTACCCTAGGTGGCAGGTTATTCCAAGACGTGGTGGGCTGCTGCTGCCCCGGGGTGGCACCTGGCTCCAGGTGGCCACATGGCCACCACGGCCACATGGTTTTCCAGAGTTCTTCCATAAATTACTTTTTGAATGCAGCATCTCTATCAGCAAATGGTCCTTCTGTCACAGAATTGTGTATGCCTTTTGTCACTGCCCAGCAAAGAAGGAAGACCTAGTCCTTAAGATACAAACACATAATGCCAGAGGATATGGTTTAAAACAAATAAGAAAATGAAACAAATTCACCAGAATCAGATTGAGGATGCCAATTATTGGTTATTTCACAGAAAAAAATCCAGAGGCCAAACCAGAATTTTCCAGCCAAGTTAAGAAATGGGTGAAAAGGGGGCAAAACCAAAGGACAGTGACAGCCAACATGGAGCCTTTGTGACCTCCCTGAAGACACGGACATGAGTTTCCTTTCCCAGCCCACCTTCTCCCTGCCTTTTCTGTACTTATGCCCTTTTCAAGGTCCTACACCTGGACTGGAGCAATCCCAGGCACAGCTACAGGTTGGGAGGAGAAGAGATTCAGAGCAGCCCTGCAGAGAAGGACTTGGGGGTGTTGGTCGATGAGAAACTGAACATGAGCCAGCTTCAGTGCGTGCTTGCAGCCCAGAAAGCCAACCGTATCCTGGGCTGCATCAAAAAGAGCGTGACCAGCAGGTCGAAGGAGGTGATCCTGCCCCTTTATTCTGCTCTCGTGAGACCTCACTTGGAGTATCGTGTGCAGTTCTGGTGTCCTCAACATAAAAAGTGCACGGAACTGTTGGAACAAGGCCAGAGGAGGGCCACGAGGATGATCACGGGACTGGAGCACCTCCCATATGAAGACAGGCTAAAAAAGTTGGGGTTGTTCAGCCTGGAGAAGAGAAGGAAGGCTGCGTGGAGACCTCATAGCAGCCTTCCAGTATCTGAAGGGGGCCTATAGGGATGCTGGAGAAGGGCTCTTCATCAGGCACTGTAGTGATAGGACAAGGGGTAATGGGTTAAGACTTAAACAGGAGAGATTCAGGCACTGCTTTGGCGGCGGTGGGGGAAGGCATCACTCTCCGCCGTGGTATTCCAAGGAAGAGGGGCGGCGTTGCCCGCTGGGACCCGGGGTCGTGCACACCCTCGCCGTCCCGTCAGTGTGGCCTAGGGGTGGACCCGCCAGTCCCTCCTCCGCTAACAGGAAAGCGAAAGCGAAAGCGTGCGGCAGAGGCAAAGGTCTCGGCAGGGGACCGGAGGGGTTGTTGTGGACGCCTGCTCCGAGCTGCGGGCTGCCGTGCGAGGAGTGCGCGTCGCAGCGCGGCCGGCTGCCTCCGCTGGGCCTTGCGGCAGCTGTAAGTTGGGTGAGCAACGGCTCCCGTCCTCCGCCCGGCGTGGGGAGCCCGCCTGCCTCCCTCCCTCCCTTCGGGTGCCTGTTGGTGTCCGCCCTCCCGAGGCAGCGAGCCTCGGGCTCTTGGAGGCGCTCGGGCTGGTGAGGCCTTCCCTGCAGCCTCCCTGCGCCGGAGGGAGTGGCCGTGACATGCGCCATGGTGTCGGCCGGGGAGGTTGGGGGGCTGCCGGGCTGGGGAGCTTGTAGTGCGGCCGTGAGCCGCACTTTTGATCCCCCGGACCACAAGACAAAGCGGGCTGGCACAGCCGAGACGGGTGTCTTAGCTGTCGACTGGGTTAGCCATGGAGAAGTCAGGTGGAGGTGTTTTACAATTAGGCTATTTCACTTTCCTGAAGTGAAACCTGGAGTGAGTAGGTAAATGTTCAAGGCCAGGTTGCACGGGGATTTGAGCAACCTGCTGTAGCGGAAGGTGTCCAGCCTGTGGCAGGGGTTTGGAACTGGATGATCTTTAAGGTTCCTTCCAACCAAAATCATTCTGTGTTTTTATGATTCTGTAAAGGTACATATGTGTTTCAGCACAGAAAAAGTAAGTTGTGCTATGCAGAATTCCTCACATCTCTGACTTTTGTGCTACGTAAGGGAGGAGGCTTCAAATAGCAAACATACATGACTTTTGCCTATAAAACGATACAAATATTTACATTTAAAAATTCTTTTAGCTCAACACAGCTTCTGGTTATCCCTTTCTGGTATTCCATTATGCTATGGGGGGGTGGTGGAAATAAGAAAAAGCCAATGTACACTATGATGTAGGTTTTTTTCCTGTTTCCTCAGGTTTCAATGGATTTTACAAGTCCCCCACTATCTTTAAAAGATAATGGCTTTGTAAGTATTTCCTGATGTGTTGCCTGGAAAAAAAACACTGTATTTGACAATAGTATCTTTGAATGAAGGTTTGTGCTACCACCACTAGGACAGTGCTTCTGCATGTCTCACCTTCCACTTCAGACATTTCTTATTCCACCTCCTGTGTCCATATGGAGAGTCCAGTTTCAAAGTGCCTGCATTGGAGATTCTGGTAGAGTTTGCCTGTCCTGCCTTGCTCATTTGCATCTGTTTCTTAGGGGAATTTCCTTTTTCCTGATGCCTCACTTAATTCAGTTCCCACAGTGTGGCAAGTAATTTCAGTGGAGCTTTCTCTGGGATTTCTTGCATTGTTCCCCCTTTGTTGTTCCCCCCCCGCCCCCTTCTTTGGGGTGAAAACTGTTGTGTTAGACCATTTTTTCAGTAAAAACTAGGCATCCTTACTTATCACCTTCCAGATGTACATCCTTCTACTTTCCTGCACTTGCTTCCTTGAGCAAAGGAATTATTTTTTTTTCCAGTTTTAAGTTATACACAGATGGGGATTTCCCTGTTGCTTAACAGGCACTTGAAATTGGACAAAGTAGTGGAAAAAATTATTGTGTTTAGGAAATACCAAGTATTACCAAGAGAATTGGCAAGATTATCTAATTTAGACCTTTTCCATCCCTAAATTTCATGGTTCACATTCAAGTTTTATGTAATTTTAAGTGAAAGGGAGGAATTGTTTCAACAGGTCTCTTTGGATTTTTTTCTTTTCTGCAGAATATTGCAGCCATAGAAACAAAACAGAAGAGATTTTCTTTCTTCTTTGTCTTTATCCAGTTGTAGTTTTCCTGTGCTTGTGAACTTCTGCCCTGAAGTACTTATATTTGAAATGCTTCTTTTATCACCTTCCTTCTGCTTGGTGTTACCTTTTATAGTCCAATCTCCCTGAGCTTGGAAGCATCCAGTTTTGAAATTTTTTTCTCATTAGGCCTGTCTGTTCTTTATATGTTCTCTTAGAGGAGCTGCTGAGAAAGCATATGGATAGACATTTGTGGGTCTGAGGGGCTTAGTTCCCTGTGGAAGAATATAGAGACAACTTGCTTGTATTATTTATCAAAATATTAGCTCATGAATATTTTCAGTTAGATACTTAGCAAACAACGATTTATTTTCTTAGATTTTTGTCCTATCCAGCCATTAAAGTAGTTCAGTGATTTGATCTAAGTGTCTGAATGCATTTAAAAAAAATGATGTGGTATACGTTATCCTGTGGCATGCAGATTATGGGAAGATTTAATTACAAAATATAACGAGTCCCTCAAAATGTTTGACTCGCCACATATCTCATCTGCATAATGGGAGAAAAACAGCAAACAGGCACACAGGCAAAATACCTTGGACTTTTATTAATGGACATACATTGGAAACTACCTTGGCAAAATGCTTCATCCAACAGCAGAGGCTTTTATTTTATTTTATTTTATTTTATTTTATTTTATTTTATTTTATTTTATTTTATTTTTTTTTATTTTTATTTTTATTTTGAGCACTCATTTGAATTTTTTTGTGTTTCCATTATTGCCTAACGGAGGGGAAAACCAGTGTGTGCCTTTTCTTTTTTCTCCAGACTATGGCACCCACTGACCCTTTCAACTCATCAGAAGATGAGATGGAAAGACTTGAAGAAGAACTGAAGAAATGGAAGGCAAGTTCTATAAAGCAAAGAGAATTGTGGAAATTAGCTGAAAGATACTTGGAAGTCCTTTAGTTCATCCTTCTAAAACCAAATCAAGTTTCCCCTGATTATGACATGTTTGTCTAACTTGTGCTCTATTCTTCAACGGGACATGCTGGTGTTAATCTCACTGGTAGCTACACTTATAAGTCTAAGAAAATATGTATCCAAAATGTTATATAAAAATATATATATAATATATAAAGGTCTTACTTAAGGTTTTGTTTGTTCCTGTAGAATAAAGAAAAAATTAAAAATCTTTTTCTTTTTACTATCCAGCAAAGAGTTGAAGAAGCTGAAAAAGCAAAAGCTGTCCTTCTTCTCTGTAAATCAAGTGCAATGGAAGAGTATGTTAAAGCAGAGGATGGACTGACAAAATTAAAGAATTTACAAGAGAAACAGCATAAGGAAGCTATTATGTCTAGGGACACCCATGAGGTATGGAGAAGGCTTACTCATAGCTGTTTATATCTGGGGAGTTATGAAGGAGGTGTTGATTAGAGAAAATAGGAGTAATACTGCCTTTTCAGTTTAAACTTCTTTACTGGTTTGCAAATTGACTAGAATGTTCTACGTATAGTTTTTCAGTGGCAGATGAAGAACCAATGAGATAAAGTAAGTCTTATGGCAAGGTCGGAAGAGGTAAGGCAAAACTGAGACCTGTTTTGTATAGAAGATGAAGACTGACAAAATCAGTCTTCAAAGATGAGTTTCAGTTTTGTGTGATGCAGGTAAAATTGAATGGGTTGATTCCACGCCTTTGTCAACTCCCAGAAGTCACAGTGCCCAGGGGATTAGCATTTCTTAAGTGACAGTGAGGTGAGCAAGAGCCAGAACCTCTTTGAAGAAGGCTCTTCGAGACTCATTGGTTCTAGAAATAATTGATTGGTTCATTGCCTCAATGTGCCATGTACAGTCTTTGGTAGAGTAATAGGGTGAGTTTCCATGGGCTGTCAAAGAGGTGGTTTCAGTGAAACTTGCTTTGCCCTGTAAATCACTGATTAAAAATTAAGGCTTTAACATTACAAGTTATTAAAATATAATTAATAGGTTAAGAACATTCAGGTTGGCATGAGATTTTTCTGAAAGTTGGTTTTGTTTCTCCAGTCATAAATGTTTGAATTTTAAACCCAGGAGAAGTCATTATCACCATCTGGTTTTTGTTTTACTTTATCTTCAGCTGAAGGAAACTGGTCTAGCTGTTTCAAGTGGTTATTTAATTTAAAGGAGCCACCTTCTGATCATGGATGGCTGGAGCTGACTACATCTGCTGTGTTTTCTTCTCGTTCTGTTGTGCTCCCTGTCCAGGAAATAGTGGATTTAGTTATATGGTCTTTATGCCCATTTAGGACTGACCGGTGTGGAGGAAGTATGTAGCAGATGAGGTAGAAGAGGTATTCTCTTTCTCACTGAAGAAGTATAAAGAAGGGACAGTAGCAGTGTGTCAGAAACTGTCCTTACCAGCTAAACTTTTCAGAAAAGGGTGTAATGCTTCCTCAGATTACAGGTGATACAAGAAAAAAAAAAAGTTTGTGTATTGACATAGGCTCTGACCTTGCACATATAAGGAACTGACGTAACTATGGAAAGCACTGTGCAATTTATGGTACGCTATATGGGCTTGGAAACACGAATGCCTCCTTTCAAAAACCCTCTTACTATAATTTGCTTTGACTGAAACTGTTCCTTGGTTACCGAATTTACCTTGCAGATAATAAAGCTATGCCAAAAATGTATTGTGCATGGCTGTCATGTAGAATAATGAAAAGTTAAAACAGTTTTTAATGTCTACAGATTTTGTTGAAATATGATTTTGTCTTTTGTGTGTTTTAATTTTGCATTTAATACTTTCTGGGATTTAGAGAGAACTTTATGTACTAAACCAAGAAAACGCTGAGCTGAAGAGAGAGATTGAAAAGCTCGAAGAAGACCTTGCAGAATGTAGTTTAATGCTTTCACGGTATAGTCAGGTAAGGTTTGAAATACTTCATCATTTGTCTTTTGGAAGGGCACATTTTTATTTTGTCAGTTCTAGACCATTGGGACCAGTTGTTTGTCATTTGAATCTCTACTGATTTCAGTATACAGTATAGTTCGAAGTTTTATCTTATTTCACCTGGCAAGATAATGTGAAGCAGGCTAAGGATATGGAAACAAATACAAGTATGTGGGATACTGAAAACATGAGAGGAATGAAGACAAGCAGAAAATTATTCAATGGAAGACACTGAAATAAAAAATACACATAATATTAGTAATTTTCAGGTACTCTCAAGTTATATTTCTTGGCCAAGAGGATGGAAGAAAGGGAATAAGTCCATTATATGGCAACTGTAGAACTAATTTTAGCCTATATTGAGCTTCACTCAGTTACAGTCTCTCTCATGTTGCTTCACATAAGAAATAATTCAATTTGCAGCCAGATAAATATTAGTGATACTAAATAGATTTAAATTCAGGATCCAAAGTGTCTTTTGATGAAACTGCTGCAGATTTCAAAGTGTTCAGAAATTGAAACTTCTCTTGTGGAAATTTCAGCTTTTAAAAACCTGCTTTAATTCCGAATTGGAACAAACCCAAATATTTTGTAGAACTTACTGTAAAATGAAAACTGTGATCATTTGTTTGTTCAGAGTTTGCAACTCCAGCCAAGCGTTACCTTGTTTGATGATAACAACATTACAATAACAGCTTTAGCTTTCTGAATTGCGTTTCTAAGTTTAGTCAGTTAAGACCGGCTTCCTAAATTTCCTATACAGTCACTGGACAGGGCAAGGCTCCTCTACAAGGAGATTCGGTGTGAACAGGGGCCTACACTCAGTGTTAGAATTATCTTTAGGAAGTGCGTCTCTTTTTCCAGGCTTAAGATGCTAGTTTTGAAGATAGGTGGCAGGAATACTTCAATTGCTCTGGGTATTTTATCTTGACACAAACAGTATGTTTCTTCTATGCAGGGTTTTGTTTTGAAATAGTTATGTAAAGGGGAAAAAAGAGTTATCTGAAACTCCCTCAAGCCTATCAAAGCAGCCTTTCCTAAACAATATTTTCCTGAGCAGTTTTAATCTATCCTAGTTATGAAATACTTGGATATTCTTATCTGTTTTAGTAAGATGGAAACATGCAAGGCTCTGTATTAGCCATTCCCATTTCTATAGAGCAGTGATGCAATTAGGCAAAAATAAATGGCAACACAAGTGACTCTGATACTTGCATTTTGCAAATTTCAGATACCAAAAATATTCTACTTCTGCAGCTGGCAATCCCTGTGGACTTCAATTGAATTTGTATTCTGTAAGGTCAGTTTTAAGCTCAAAGTTAAAGGAAAAAAAAGAAATCCCACCTAACTGACAAAAAAACTCAAGAACAGAGGAGTACAACTAGTCAGTTTAGTTAGAAGAGTAATATCTGTTTTATCAGCCAGTACTTCAATCTGCTTGACTGTTAAACTTTAAAGATGAAGTATGTGTAGCATTTCAAGGGAAGGCTACCATTCATTTTTCTGCTCTGCAGTAAATTACAGAAATTGTTTTTTTTGTATCTTCATTCTAAAATGATAGATTAATAAAGAGGTAGCAGAAATGAAAATGAAGTTCACTCACATGGAAGACACGAAGGATAATTATCAAGATATGAATACTCACTGTGTTTTTGGTGTAACTACAAAAATCCCATTCAGACTGGATGAAAACCAGGTGCTGCTTACTTTTGAAGACAAAGAAGGTATGATGTATATTTAAATACAAAATTAATGTTTCTGATGTATTTTGTTGCCAAAGGGAAAATATTTACATAAACATTTGGAAAAATAAAATAAAATCAACAACAGGCAAAGAAAGAATACACAGAAAACCATTCACTATTATGACACCAATCAGCAGAAAAAAATTCTTGCAAGTACTCTGCATGTTTTTGTTGTATTACCAGATTTCTGCTCTTAGCTAATACAAACAATACTTCGTGTTTGAAATTGGGAATATGTTCCTACCTCAGAGAGTATTGTCAAGAATGATTCAGAATGCTCTGACAGCAGAATTTGCCTTTTTTCTTTACTCTGGGCAGTACCTTATTCTGACAGCAGTTATGTTGGTTAAGTGAACACAGCAGATGATGGGTAGATCTGAGACATCAGAGGGATGGTGCAGTCTGTAACTTGCCTGCTTCCTGCTGAGATGCTTGTTGTTTGGGCAGCCTGCAGGCACTCTGCCTGGGCCTGTTTTGGTGGTGGGTAATTCAGTTATGCATGCAAATATATTCCGGATAGAAAAGCTAGGGTCCAATTCTTTTCTTACAGCTAAACTCGAACGTTTCTAGTCGGCATTCTCTGTACCTCGTAGCAATGTGGTTTTCATCCAAGGATATTTTAAATTGAATACGAGAAGTCTACTATTAATATTTGTTATAGTGAGAGCATCTTTTGACAGCATAAAGATTTTACTATTCTATACCACTCTAAAGATAGTATAATATTTTACCTGGTGCCTATAACCAGTGAGATTTAACAGAAAAAAATAATTCTGAAGACATAGATATTGGGATTCCTCTGTTATTGATGCAAAAAGAGATTTTGCTTAAGAGATGGGGGAACAGTCTTGGGTTTATTGTGATTAAACAAGGCTTTAAATATCTGAAAACTTGTGATTTTCTTTAGTTGCCCAGAGACTGATAGAAATCGGTAAACATACTGTGAACCTGGACAATAAAACAGCAGATATGAGAGTGATGCCTTTTACACTTGAAATGGGAATCAAATTTAAGGTAATCGACTGAAATATGAAACTATAAAGACAGGAACTTGCAGTAATTAAAAAGCTTTATGTTTATGGGTTTGGATGTTTTCAGTCACAAAGTGCACAAAAAAATATTTTTTTAGCTCCATGTCACTATTTCTGGAAAGAAGATTAATGTTTCAGAAGTACCTGAACTATCCATTCCTGAAGACTGGATGAGAGACAAATTAGAACTGAATTTCTGCAAGTCTGAACAGGGAGGAGGAGAAGTTGAAAATGTGAACTATGACAAGCAGTCTAGAACAGCTGTTATTACGTTCCTCAGACCTGGAGGTATAGTACGTAATATGTCGTTGGCCAGATGCAGAGGCCAAACTGTCCATTCTGCATTACATTCTATTCTGTATTCTGTGTTAACCACTGAATGTAGCAGATTCTTCCCATGGAGAGTTAAGCAGATCAGGAAAAATATGTGGGTTCACTCACACATCTGTAAAAGCAGTGTTTTATCACTTAAGAAAGACATTGAGGTGCTGGAGCAGGGCCAGAGAAGAACAACTAAGCTGGTGAAGGGTCTGGAGCACAAGTCGTAGGAAGAATGGCTGAGAGGACTGGGGTTGTTTAGTCTGGAGAAGAAAAGGTTCAGGGGGGACCTTATCGCTCTCTACAACTACCTGAAAGGAGGACTGAGTGAGGAGGTGGCTGATCTCTTCTCCTAAGTAATTAGTGATAGGGCAAGAGGTGATGGCCTCAAGCTGTGCAAGGGAAGGTTGGATATTAGGAAAAATTTCTTCACAGAAAGGCTTCTCAGGGAAGTGGTGCAATCACCCTCCCTGGAAGTGTTCAGAAACCCATATAGATGGGGCCCTTAGCGACATGGTTAAGTAGTGGTCTTGGCAGTCTTGGGGTAAAGTTTGCACTTGATAATCTTAAAGGTCTTTTCCAACCTAGTTGATTCTAAGATTCTATGACCTGATACATAGTTTGTGAGCTTTATTTCTTTCTTAACTTTGTCAAAACCCTCTTTTTTTTCCTTGCATTGCTAAGCACATTGCAAAAAAGAAAACCATGGAAATGTGTTTGATTTTAGCTCTTTTCATGACAATGAAGTTACACAGGCATTCAGATTGCCCAACTATATTAAATTCTTTGAAGATCAGTGGAGCCACATCCATTTAGAACAGCTGCTTTAGATTTTGTGGGTATTTAATGATCTTGCTTTTTTGGGAGTGCCACGTAAACTTTCTGCAAAATGCATATGAAGAATCTTCAAGTGTACTATGATATATTAGTTTCTAAATCCATATAAGAAAGATTAGTCTGTTCTTTGGTACTCTTATAAAATGCATTTTAGATTATGTTACTCTTGCTTCTCGTTTTCTGATTCTTCATTACAGCAACTAACAGCTTTGTGAGATGTACTGAATATCCTTTTGTTTCAAATGGAACGTGCTATAGGCTTCCTGTTTCCCCAGACACCAATGTGAAATTGGAGAACTTTCAGGTAAAAGAATTGAGTCCTAAATAGAACAGATGCACAGAAAATGCAAGATACAAGCAGAATTTTCAGTTCTGAGGACTGCAGAAGCTTTTGTGTCATGCACTTTGTGAAACTTAGTAGCAAGTGTGAGTCTGCAATATGATGCTCTGGTTATAATCTTATGTTTTGCAGTGTGAAAGCTATAATTTTAAAAGGATGTGCATGTCCTTCCTTGATCAAATTGTATTACCTACCGTAATGTCTGTGCTAGACAGGAGGCAGATACTGAATTAATGTTTTTCCAGTCACAAAGCACTGTCATGTTCATCCCTAGTGAGAATGCCTTGACGAACAAGACAGCAGACACCCTTCTTATTCTAGGAAGCATTTGCTCGTTCATTTTTCTTCATTCATTCATTCATTCATTGTAATCAAGTCAGTATTTTGTATGTAATCAGGCCTTTATAATTAAAGCATTGACTAGGGTGTGCACGTTTAGGAGATGCAACAGAATTCTTTGCAGGTGTGTATCATGTACTGGCATGGATTTTTATGGAGCAATGCTGTCTAGAGTAATCTTCAAATATAGAGATCTTCAAATCCAGTGTGTGCATGCACTAAGGAGTGTAGGACACACCAGTTAAGGAGGCAGGTGCATTGCCTATTGAACTCAGCAGCATACCGGAGTCCTCCTGCTGTTTTAAGTGACAGAAATACAACCCGCTGTTCAAGGTCTTAAAATGTAATAAATAATCCTAGCCATACCTGACCACAGATATGTTTATTTCCAGTATCTCTCAGCTCCTTTTGATGTACATGCAACATCTGATGTGTAATAAGTTTGTTTTTCTTTCCTCAATAGCTCTATTGTGGGATTTCTAAGAAGACCATTCTGTTGGAAGGAATTAAAGAGATGGAAGATGATGAGGAAAGTGTGCAGGACATGATTAAAAACCATTTTCAAAAGCCTAGTAATAATGGTGGGGAAATAGAGAAAATCAAATATGCATCAAAAGGAGTAACATGGGTTTGTTTTGAGGAGGATACTTAGAATGCCATATAGGAAAATGTAATTGATCTCAGGAAGTTGTTGTTTTGTTTCATCAGAGGCATAGGAAGTTATGCAGACATTGTGCTTTAATGTTCTGATATGTACACTTGATAAAAAGGAACTACCTGGTTTGTGTAACAGCACAGACTCAGCATAGAAATTCAGTAAAACTCACTGCTTTGTGTTCTAGAGGTTCCTGATCAGTCACAGAAAAAGCCTTCACAGCACTTGAAACTTGTGCTGTAAATTTGCAGATTTTGTATCTTGCAAATTTTAGATGGCTCCCATACTCCAAAGTGGGATAAATCTATTTAATATTACATTTTTGTTATAAAAGCCATATGCAATCCCAATCAAATGCTTGTTCACAGAACTGCTTTTCTGAAGTGCCCTAGCTTCAGATAGTAGCTCTAACAGAACTCCAGTCCTGCTTAGATTGCTGTGTGCCACCATAACTCAAATACCTGAAGTTACCTTGTAATTATAAAATCTCATTGCCAAATGAGTGATACACTCTCCATTTCCCTTTTTCTAGTTTAAAATAATCACAGATTCACTCAAGAAATTGCACCTTTTAAGAAATGCTGTAGCAGTAATTGCTTTTAGCTGCTGAAACACACTTCTAGCATCTGATGCAAATTGTGCTGAGCTTCTGTATGTTAATAGCCTGGTTTATTGTTTGTTTTTAACGTTTGTTTCTGCAATTAAATCTTTCCTTATTTTTATTCATGGCTTTGCTTACTTTAGAGTTAAAAGTTGAGATGATTCTTTATCAAAACCAGATTGCTTTGCAAAAATGATGTGGAAGCAGTGAACACTGTCTGCGGTATGTGTTTTGGTACAGGCAGCTGGCCAGGCCACTGGCGCGGGTGGGTGTTGAGGGAGATCAGATGGGAAAAGGCACACAGAGTTTAGGGCAAATTAATTTTTCAGTGTATAAAGCTCCTCCTTTCATTTCCAGTTCTTCCTTTCAGTTCTCTTTCTGAGAGATCTTTGAAATAAAATGAAAGTGCAAAGTCAGAGGAAGATTTATTTTCCAAAGAGGAATGTTTTTCTTTTAATGCTGTTGCTGTTTTTATCTGCTACCTTTGGCGGCTGAAACGGTTTGCAACAATAATGTTAACTTCAAAGTAGCCTGGCTCTAACATTGAAAATATCTTATTTTCAAAGTATTTGACATTTTAGTGTGCAGGAAAAGCGCAATGCACCAAAGTAGTGCACAAAGTGCACTACAACCACACCTTAGGTATCATTATTCTAGAGAAATTATTAGTAGGCAATAAATATGTTGAATATGGGAAACTCCAAGGCTGCTAGCACCACAGCCGATTTTGAGTTTAGTGTTGGGTGAGATACATGTGGCTGTAGCACCTCTTACTGTTTAGTGCATGCAGAATCATGGATTGATTATATGACATTTATGAAATAATAATAAAAATGGTAGTAGTACTGAAGTATTTGTGGAGATTGCATACTTTTGCATGTGACAGCCTTAAAAATGCTGGTAAGTTCGGATGACTTAAAAAGAGAGGAAACTGATGAAAATAAAAATGTCATGCATTTTAACTGTACCTCACTGTTAAATGTTGAGTAATAAATCCTTAAAAAGGGAAGAAGTTTAGAATTCTCATAGCTACACGTTTTAAGTACATAAAATCAAGTAACATTTTAAGACAATCAGGCTTTGTAAATGTTTTTCTTCTCTGATGAATTGGTTATACTGTTTAAATTTCAAAGCAGTGGTGGTGCCACAGAAAGGCTGGTTTAAATTATGAGAAACGAGTACAGAATTTAGGTGATGTTTCTCGAAATGGCGAAATCCTTTCTTCTACCTACTTGGAGTGAATTAACCTTTGGCTGGAAGTTTGAAGAAGAACTGTGACTTTTTTATACCCGTACTACATACAAACCCTTGGTATTTTCATAGCTGCAGCTTCCACCATGAGCCAGACCTGCGCGTCGCTCGCGTCAGCCGGTCAGCCCTGGTGTGGGACTGTTTGGGTGCCGCGGTGGGTGTACCGGTCCAGGTGTACATGGGCTTTGTGTCGCCGTGCCTGTGTGCCTACCCGTGCCTCGCCGTGAGGGGGCACTGGGCATATGGGCCTTTTGTGCGGTAACGCAGCAGGGAGCATGCAGGCAGTGGGGTGAGGACCAGCAGGAGCAGATACGCAGGCCGGCCAGGGTGCGCTGCCTTGCGAGGCAGCGTCGCTGGAGGTTACCGGGGCTTCCAGCCGCCAATGGTGAGAATCGGAACACCGCTCCTGCGCGGGCTTTCCAGCGGCGGCCGGGAGGCGGCGCGGGGGAGGCCCTCCCGCAGCGGGGCTCCGGGACTCGGGGCCCGTAGTTTCGATTTCTCGGGTAGACCGGGGCAGGCCGAGAGCCCGGCAGGAGCCGGGACGGGCGGTGCTCAGGCGGCAGCCGCTCTCCGCCGCCCCGGACACCAGCGGAAGCCCCAGCTCGGTGGAGGGACAACCATGGCAAGTGCCGGGATTGGCGGCGGGAGGGGGCGTCATCGTCCGGGGCGCGCCGGGAGGCTTCGGGGAAGGGGGATGGGGAGAGCGCGGGCCTTCCCGCTGGCGCGCTCCAGTCCCCGCGACCCCCGCACAGGTTGGACCCGCCAGCCAGTGGGCAGAGAGCAGCCTTCTCCTGCTCGGGTTGTTAAAAGTCTCAGAGGGTTAGAAGTAACGGCAGCGTGGGGGAGCCGAGTGAACCGTGTCTGTCCTTCGCTCAGTTCCCGCACAGAAAGAAATGTCTTGTCTGCTATGGCCTGATGCCCTGACCCTCAAGTTTATTTAATGGTAGCATCAGGTCCGATTTCCCTGTCACTAGTATTACTATTTATGTTTTTTAATAACAGTGAGAACTTATGAGGTCTATAGGTAAGTCTTCATATTATCTCGTCAGTGTTGATATGTATAGCAGATATGCCAAGAAAATAGCAAATCATAGAATCACAGAATGGTTTGGGTTGGAAAGGACCTTAAAGCTCATCCGCTTCCAAACCCCGTGCCATGGGCAGGGACACCTTCCACTAGAGCAGGTTTCTCAAAGCCCCGTCCAACCTGCCCTTGAACACTGCCAGGGATGGGGCAGCCACAGCTTCTCTGGGCAGCCTCTGCCAGCACCTCACCACCCTCCCAGGGAAGAACTGCCCATGCACGAAGCACTGTGGTCACCAATGATCAGCACTGCAGGGCTTCTCTCCCTTACCCGCCTGCCTGTGTCCCTGAGGCACCCCCCGCAGCTGTGCAGCTCTGTCTAGCAACAGCCACTGCATACAGACTTGTCTTGGAAGTGATTCAGCACAAACGAGCTGTGTGTTCATGTGGATTTTTTTTTTCCTAACCCCAATAGTAGGCATGAGTGCTGCTCCAAAATACCAGCTGGCAAGGTGCAAGATGCTGTCTGGCAGCTGAGTGCTCCTGCTCATGCTTAGGCTGCATCGGCTGTGTGAAGCGTGAGAAAATCCTGCCTATAGCTCCATCAATCTTGGGAGCACCCTGTTTATATTCTCTTCATGTTGTCTCATTAGTGCAGAAACTTGCTTTCACACGAACGTTACCACCAAAATAATTGCCTAATATAATTAAAGCTTCTGGCTCTTTAAGTTTGATGGTGACAAAAAAAGGCCCCATGTCTTTATGAATTAAAAGCTCCCCTGGTTGTGCAGTCTCGTTGAGTCTGTCTCCTCAGAAACACTGTGGTGGTGGTCCACAAGGCTTTTAACGCATGTCAATGGAGCATTCGCCCCTGGCAGCGCATTCTGCAGGCTTTGTAATTGCTGTGCTGGCTCTAATATTTTATGCAGCCCAGGGTCCAGAAGAAGCTTTGTAAGAGAAGGCTAAAGAATTTAGCAGGAGTGGCTGACCATGAGTACAGCCACTTTGAAGTTATTGACAGTTCATTCCTGTGAATGCTGCCATGCAGATATACCAAATTATTTTCTTTCTTCCAAAAAGTCAATGAACTGTTACAAAATTTACTCAAGTGTTCCACTATTTACAGTAATTGTGCCATGATATTCCCAGTGAAGTATTACTGTTTATGTCTGTGTGATGAGAATGGAAAGAAAATATGCTTTTCTTAACGAGACATGAATGCAAATCCTATTTAGGATGGGTTTCATGTTTGCAGCATTAGGAGGTTTGGCCCTGATGAAAATCATGTGTGGTGCTAGTTGCTTTACTCCCTGTGAGTCTCGACTGGGATTATGTTCTTCCAATTTAACAATGTTATCCATTTAATAAGTGGAGAGAGATGAGTCAGAACACAACCCTAGATCCCAGCTCTCATGAATTTAACAAGTAAGTACAGTCTGAATCTGACCCTTCCACTCTGAAAAGACAATCCTTACTGAACAGTAAGTACAGTTAAAATTTTTCATTCTCTTCAGGTTTTGAATAGTAGAATCAAGAAGAAACTACCTCGTCAGTGTGACACTGGACCTTTCATTTGAAAAACTGTTAAATTTAGTTCTAATTTTTACTGCTTTAAGAAGATACTGAGAAGGCGTAAATTACAATTAAGAGTCAGGCTACTTCATACTGCACAGTACTGTAAAGGTGCCTAAGGGAGGCTGCTATCCACTGAAATCTGATTCATCAGTCTTCTAAAATGCTCAGTAGATGAACAGGTTGTGTATGCAAAGGGGAGGAGAGTCCCTTCAGCAACGGGTGTGAATCTGGGTAACCTCTGTGGGAGGTCACTGGGACTCCTTGCATTTATGGTGGCCTGTGTCTCTTGTGTGCAGGCGACAGGACAAGCTGCTAAATCAGCAAGGACAGTTGTCATTGCCGGTGTTCCAGATGGCCTTCTGCACAATGATGTCATGACCGACATACTGACAATTCATTTCCAAATGTCGAAGAACAACGGTGGAGATGTGGAGGACGTAATATATCCCACAGACAAAAAAGGAGTTGCATATGTAACTTTTGAAGATCAAAAAGGTAGTTATATGAATGTACTATAGAAAATACAGATGCCCCCTAAAGAATTAGCCCTAGAATGTTAATCCTAAAAGAAATTATTTTAAATTGTTTGCTGGTACTAGGATTTTATAGAACTGAGAGACCAACACCTCTCTTCTAGTCAGCCAAAGTTTTAGGATTGTATTTCTCTTTGGAGTCATGGCTGTCCTAGTTTTGGCTGGGATAGAGTTAATTCTTTCTCTCTTTTTTCTTTTTTTTTTTTTTCTCTAAACAGGCTTCCTGCAAAGTGTTTGTTACATTTGCTTTTAGGAATAAATTTATACCATGCATAACAGATAGGATTTTTGTAGTCGGGCATTTGAGAATAAATCTCTGCCAATTAATGTTTTAAGAAGACAGGCTTCTGCCCCTCTCTCTGAACCGTATTGACTAATCATAAAGTATTAGGGAAGAATATTGAATTGCCTGTGTGTACATTTGCAACATTGTGAGGGAAAGCATCAAGAGAAACATCCCCATGAAATGTTCTTCCATCAGACCTGCAGTAACGCGTTATCTTACTGCATGAATATGGCTTTCTCTTCAGTTGTAGAGAGTGTTCTAAAAAAGGATGAACATCGACTAGAGGACAAGAGGTTCTCCAGATACTACCCGCTGAAAGTAACCCGCTTCTCTGAAAATGTAAGCTCTTTGTTAATTTATCTAGTTGTACTTCCATTGCTATCTTAACCATTACTTAACTTCTCCAATTCAAAATTCTAGGTCTTCAGCTCTGTCACATGTGTCCTCGATATGTCTATTTTCAAAGAACAATTCATTTTAGAAGATCTGATACAAGAAATGAAAAAGAGTACAGATTTGAACTTTGGTCCTTTGCAATCCAGTGGGCATATTTCTGTTCAAGGGTCATTTCCAGATATCAAATTGTTAAGAGACTTTCTCTTATTAAAAGCAAAATCCATTTCAGAGAAGGACAAAAGAGAAAAAGGTACGTCGCACCAGAGACCAAGAAGGAGGCAACAGCAGCCCGGACTTACCACGGAGATGAGTAATTTTGGTCATGGTGTGGAAAAACAGGTGGTTGTTCTTGACACAGATGTATATCGCTACCTGAAGTCCTTTTTTCCCAGGACATTCATAGTGAATGATGACACTGTGATTTTTGACATCACTGATGGTGATGTAACTACACTATATATTGAGAATGCTGGAAGTAGGTCTGATGCTGGACAGGCATTACGAGTCAAAGAGAAAATTGAAAACTGGTCTATAAAACTCCATAAAACTCTGCGTAAGGAGAGGATTGACTTCAAGGAACACACCAGAGATGAAAAGCAGAGATATAGGAGGGCGTGTGAAAGCGTGAATCCCCATTACCCTCGTGTTTTGATCATCTTTTATGATACTCACATTGATGTTATAGGAAATCCTTCTGAGGTTTTTGAGTTTACAAAGAAAGTGAGCAATGAGATTCAGAGCCTGTTTTGTAGCAGGTAGAAAGTTAGTGTTTATGTTGCTTACATGTTGTACAGACTGTACCTGTGCACATCTGTGTCACTGAAGATCTGTCACATTGCTCACACTCACAGGTTGGGCAGTCTGCATCTGAGGGTGAACAAGCCCGTTCCTCCCGATTAAGTTTGGAACAGGAAGTAAATTACCTCTGTATCTCTTGTGAGCTTAAGAGACTGAAGCAGTTAGGCCTCTTCTGTCTAGATAAAACTCCTTTTTCCTTTGTTAGATGTGTTCTGGGCGTATGCACATTCATTCTCTTGGCATCAGAGAGCACAGGATGAGAAAAGACAATTTTTTTATGAGTTCTCATTAGCATAAGAAGCCTGACTGACAAAGCTGGGTAAGCCAACCTGATACAAGATACTGCACTGAAGTCATGTTTCTCTGCACAGGGAGATGACCACTGAAAACAGGAGTGGTGGCCTTTTTCTGTTGGCTTTATCTGCAAAAGGAACTTCTTGTCATTGGGATGCAAGAAGATACAGCTTTGACGCTTGAGGGGGTGAAATGCTTATTAAATATATGAGCTTGTCATGTCTTGAAAAAGACTTTAGAAGATGGTATTGGAAGTTCTTGACAGTAAAAAAATAAGTACGTTTATTTTCATAAGAGCAATAACATGGGTTTTTTTTCCAGAATCTCCCACAGAAGTACTGTATACCTATTGTCCCTCATCTTTTCTATGTGGCTCCTTGTTGAAAGGGAGTCTCCATCTTTGTAGCCACCCTTTACTGGAACATGGTGATAAAGTCTCCCTTGAGCCTTCTGTTCTCTTTTTCTGATTCACAGCATTAGTACTTCCTATTCATTACTATAAGTGTTTAGGGCTGGACTGGTAAAACAGTGGCATTGATGTTACTTTGAATCCTGACTGATAACTACTGGCTGAGCGTCACTTTTTGAGTCAAGTTTGACAACAGTTTGCAGCATGGGCACAGGCGTCATTCAGGTCTTATTGCCTAGCAAGCAACTCATTTTTACTGAGCGATTTTCAATCAATCTTAGTGTCTTAAAATCCTGAAAACATCACAGATGAATAGAATTTTATTGCTGAATGCTGGTTTAGCTGCAACAGCTCCTCTTCAGGTCCATTTGTCAAGCGCCCCTTTGCCACTGTGTCCTTGGCAGCACTCAGCTGCTGAGTGCTGGGGTCTTTCTCTTGCACCCACCAGCCAGCATTGACTTATTGTTTCCAAGCGCTCTCCCATCTGCCGTCTCTGGTCTCATACTGAGGATGTAATTTCTTTAGACAAAAAGAGCTTTGCATTGGTGGTTTGGGGACTTTTTTGTTGTGGTTTGCTTTGTTTTTGATTTCTATGGAGTGCCTAGTAAATGGGGAGTGGATCCAGGGTGAATTAGCAAATAGTAGCTATTGTCATGCTCCAGGCTTTCTGGGGCTACTTTTACATGTCATATTTGCAGTGGTATCGGCCACAAACACCTCAACTTTGTCACCTTTGATGGTTCCTTGTAGCTATGCAAGGACAAGGCAGGACAGGGTCTTTACTAGTGATGGTAGAAAGGTTGTGGCATGTATGGCCAGTGACTGAGTTACTCTTAAGATTTAAACCCACAGAGGAACCTGCTTTCTGTAACAGAAAAAAAGCTGTGATCTACCAGGATAAACAAATATTTGCAGTAAAAATATAAACAGCATTTTAGCAGAATAACATCCTAAATGAAGCATGTATTTGTTCCTTCCTTCACAATGTAGGTACCATGGAAAACAATAGATGTTTAGCAAAAAAAATAAATGAAAGTCCGATTTTGTCATTACCATGAATATTAAGCAAATACAACAAAACAAATCAGTAGTAAGTCTGGTAAGAGACTTGGCCAGCTCTCATTCTCCTGGTTATTTTTATGGCAAGCAAAGCATTGCTGTATCTATTAAACTCCACTTGGGAAAGGCATTTTGTATTTGTGTATATTGGAAAATACCTGGGAAACCGTATCAGATGTTATCCCTAGATCTAAGCCATTGTATTCTCAGCATCGAGTTTGCCTTTTAATTTGAACAGAGAATTTGCTCCAGGGACCCCAACGAAGTATTTGTCCTTATTGCTGCTCCAGTGCTCACTGCCCTTTGCTGGAAGAGGTTACATAACAGTTCATGTTGTAAAAATACAAAGCCTAATTTTGACTTAAGACACACGTCCTACTGACACAGCCTAAAAAATAAAGAATAATTTGAAAAGGTCGCAAATAGCATCAGAACCTGAGCCCAGTTCCTGGCAGCACCCTGCTATGGGGAGTGGGGTAAACACCATTTTTTGTCACCTGAAAAGCTGAGGCTTTGAGAGAAAATTTGACATCCCTTACCAGCAAAATACACAATTTGGAGGCAAAAGCAATCTCCCAGATTGACCGGAGGGGATGGGGGAGGTGGATGGAGGAGGAGTGATTGACTGGAGTCCTTTTACCATCACTGACAGAAAGCACAGGGAGGACAAAGCCACCTTTACTCTCCATTGTACCTGTGCATCTAATTATGCAATGTAGAAAATTATTCAATTCCTGCAGGAAGGAGGTTGTTCCATCAGGAAAAAAATCCCTTCCTGCAGGTTTAATTGTTGTCATCAGAACTGCCTCTGTCACCTTTGAGTTGCATTGAAACTTTCTCTGTGCATCTGTTAAAAAAGCAGACTACAAAAGACCTGTCACATCTCCTGAAAGACTGCAGTGCCCTCATGACATTTTCTTAAGGACTTGCTGCTTTTGGGAGCCATGTGTCTTATTTTACAAAGAAAAACACAAAACCATGTGTAGGAAAACCAAACAGCCTTACAAGCAAATAACTCATTCTTTAAGACAACTTTTAGGCTTAAGTCTTCATCTGGCCACACTGGAGACTCAAACGCATAAAATTCAGAGGAAAACAGACAATAGTCATCAGCCATCAGGGTGATGGGGTCATCAACCACAGGGTGAGAGTACCTGCAGCCAGCTGAGGTCGGATGGGGACATGCTCCCACCAAGAGAGAGGAGATGAATTTAGCAGGCTGTGTATCCGGAGGAGTGGAGGCTCTCACTTAGCTCCGGTTTGGCTCTCGGGGGCCTCCCATAAACAAACACACACAGTCTTGTTGTGTTGCACATCTTGTGCAAGAGAAAAGCAGCTGTAGAGCAGAGCCAAGTGAGCACTGGGGAGATTCCTCCTCCGTTGCACATTTCTGTGGTGACTTCCCTTGCATTTAGCTTGCATTTAAACAGCTGGTGGCTGTTTATGGGATATGTGGCTTCTAACAAATTTAATTAAAAATAACTCGGTTTTTGTCTTTTGGGCTTCTACCCCTTAATCAGCTACAGTTCCTAATGAAAAGACCTTTTCCATCCTTCTCTTTTAAACTAAGAGCATAGTAATATCACATGTAGATACATTACCTGTATCACCTACCATTAGAGGATGGGAGTCTTCCCTGATTTCTGCAGCAGGCTGCCCATACAACTTGGCTAACAGAATAATAAAAATATTCATTTTAATTATGATTTAAACAAAGTCAACAAAAAACAAAGTCAACAAAAAACCCTCAAAAACACACAAGGAAAAATAAGTCAAAACTGAACAGACATTCAGAATCAACAGCACCTAATCTGGTTGTACTTACTTTTTCCTTAACTACAGAGGATTGCAGAACATCTGCTGGAAAGCAAGTGCTTTTTCTGCTTCAGCTAACACAGCTTTCCTTTGTCTCCTGACACCCATTAATGACCTTTAAAGAAACCTCCTGAAAGTAACTCAGTTAAGAAGAAGCACTACTAATGGCAGTGGCCACTGCTGCTGGAGCATTGCATTAAAGCCATTTCTCAGGTGGATTTCACCTCTTGTTACTACTGCCACCTTTGTAAAAGGAATAGTATGGGTCAGGACCTGCTACACAGAGTACTTTACCAAAAAAAAGCTGTATAAAATACTGGAAAAAACAAAGCTCTAATATATTTGTACAGATGAAATAACTTCATATTCTGTAAATTCCTAACACTGTGAAGGAGGAAGCACATCGCATGCTGAGCGTTGCATGTACAGATGGCAGTGCTGTCACTTGGACTGAATCATGCAGAGGAAGGGTGGATTTTCTCCAAGGCAGAAGCTATGGTTGATAGTCACAACTCATCCCTGATGAAGATATAAGCAGCTGGCTGTGTGTAATGCATATGGTTCTTCATATCCTAGTCCCTAGCTTGGTCCTGGAACAGCTTCGTATTTCCTGCACACTCAAGGGTACCAGAATACAGAGACGAAGCCTTGCGTGAGATGGTTTAGTGTGAGGTGTCCCTCCCCACAGCAGGGGGGTTGGAACTAGATTATCTTAAGGTCCTTTCCAACCCTAACTATTCTATGATTCTATGGTACATATCTTGTCAGGTCTTAAGTAACAGCCACTGATGTGTTCCGCTTCTCCAGCTGGACACAAGGAGATGAGCAAGGGCCATCTTCCCCAGTGCGTTCCACCGCGTGGACTTCGTCCCATGTAACTTCTCTTGCCATAAACACGGGAAGCACAAGAGGGAGCCAGATGCTTTGAAGCTGAAATCCCAAAGTCTCCGCTGGGGTCCTTCCCAACGGCACCCGGTGAAGGAGATGCCGGAAGCAGGTGCTGCTCCGTCCCTTGGCTGGTGGAAAAAGAGCTCAGGTCTGTTTGCCTGGAGCAAAATCTGGGAGAGATCCCTTCCAGTCTTTCATTGCTCACACTTGCATCACTTTCTTTGAAGCTTATACAAAAATGGGTAAGGAAATTGTCTACTGACCAATTTCACACTGAAATCACAGACGAGTAAATTGACCAGAAGCCTGAGCACTGCTGTAGTTAATCCCTTGTTAAACATCATTGCTTCAGCATGTAGGGCCTTGAACCAGCCAAACGCAATGTGGCACCACGCAGGCAGATCACCTTGGTGCCCACATCAGCTGTGGGGGATGACCACCCTGTGCCCACTATCATGAGAGAAGGGAGTTAGCTGAAGGAAAAAGCAGATACAAGTCAGCTGTTCTGCTAGCTGGGGGTGATGTTTCCAGCTAACCACCATCCCTTAGAGGTGAGGACCTGGATCCCAGTTTACCTGTACTATCTCCTCCAAGTGCAAAGGCCTTGGAGGAGGGACACCACCAACCCTCAGCCACCACTGCACTGAGCAATTTAACTCTTCCCACATGTAAGAATAACCCATCCCATCTCTTCTTGGCATGGCTGGGACTGAAGTCAGTGGGCAGTGCTGGTATACAGCCATGGGTTTGATTTTCAGTTAAGACACCCTTAGCAAAGATTTTTTAAAATCTTCGCTTCCATTTTGGCATAGATAATGACAAATCTTTACTAGTTTTAGAATAAAAGCAACATCTTGCCTTGGTGTTGCATATAGATGTGCTCTGCCTGGCCTGCACACAGGGACTTTGCAGAAACTCACCATTTTTACCATTGTCTGGGTGCTTCTATGTATTAGCAGACAGCTTTTGTACAGATACAGCCAGTTCTTAACAACTGGAAAGTTTTAATGCACACAGTAAACACCACTGGGAGCGCTTTTTTCTGCTTTAAGTTATATGAACGCTTCCCCCATGAGTTAAGGGATTTGGCATTTCTCTCAGGCATACTTTACATTTTCCAAGCTTTCTGAGTAACACATTGAGAGACTTAAGCATCTGCACTGCCAAATCAAATGAGAGGAGAAACAATTTTGCAGGCTCATTAATGCCTAGCACTGACAGGCCTGGAGGGGCTGCAATTTTATTTACATAGGGTAGAGACAGGGCTTTAGGGAAGTGCAGTGTTATTTACACAGAGAAGATATGCTCTTTCTGAGGTAGGGGTCTCATTTGGGTGCAAAAGGGACAGGAATGGGAAGCACAGTCTTAGACAGATACGGTTTTACCTGTGCTTCCAAAACCACACTTAAAAGCACAGTCATAAATGCTGCTTTTAGTAGCAGCTGGAGTATTTCTCCCACATGTGGAACAGTTAAGAGTTCAGCTACATCAGCTATCCTACTGCTAGCAGAGCCCCTGAGAGCAAACAAGGGTGATTCAGCTACAAAGGAAAAAAGAACTTGAAGATGGGAAAATAAAGAAAACCCACAAAATAACAGCACTTATAATAACTACAGTTATCAACCCCCACCCCCTCCAAACTCTCCCGAAGTCTAAACCACAATAACTGTATTTATCTAGTTGTTGGCTTGATACTATTTGCAGAGCTATTCTCCTGCTCCCCCACTGCTGCTCCCTAATGCGCCTCACAAACATGCCCTGAGGTTGCCCCACACCATTACAGCCTGCACACACCACCCACCTCCTCCCAGTCTCTCTCCTCAGCCTATGAAGCATTGTCTTCACCGCCCCAGAGTCATCCTCTCAGCCTCCACAAGAGCTGATGATTAATTGAAGCCAGCTGCTTGGCTCTCTCCCCTTCTTCCCACACCACTTTGCATTCCTATTAAAGCACATGCACTGCCCCAGCAGTGTATTTGGCTTTTTAGAGTGTGTAGCAGTGATGCTGCTGCAGAAACAGGGCCAACTTTCACACTTTTCTTTGTGAGCCGTAGCTGTTTGGTTATCAGAAATTCACAATGGCAAACTTAGTCTGCAATGTCATTGGCCTCAGAAGGTATTTAAAGTCTTGCTGGTTTAGGGCCTGTGTTATGTTTTTAGCTTTTGGTGTTATATTCTCAGTTTTCTAATATGGGTAACCCTGAAGAGCCTCTAAACTTGCAGTGCTGCCATAGGAATCACATATTGAATACCTAATCATATAAGACATTCTTGAGAATGCTATTTAACTTACCAGACCTATGATGCTTTGTAGTATATTAGCTGTCTGAAGTAACAATCTAGTTGTTGAGGACAGCAAGCCTCTTCTGAAGGATAATTTATTCTGCTTTGGAACAGGTGGTATTTGGTGGTCTCCACAGATAGCACACACATCCCTCCTTACTGTGCAGATGAACAGCAGATGAAAAATCTTAGATAGTTCTGGATTCTTGCTACTCATTTCTAGTTGACTCTTTTGCCTCTACTTAACTGCCAGCTTTGTTGTCCTGTTGGGAATGCAGAGGAAGGCACAAAAGGATTCGTAATGTGTATCCAGCATCACTGAGGTCGATGTGTCCTTATGTTGTTTCCAGTTACCATATGGTGAGTTTGCTGGGATTATGGACTGGTTAATGTGTCCTGGCTTAGCAGTCTTTCAAGTTCCCCAGTACTTAGAGAGAAAGCAAAACCCTCGCATGTCTAGTAGGTATCTTCCAGCTCTTGGAGAAATATCTCAGATGTGCAACTGTAAGTGAGGTGTGATTTGGTTTCCTTCGCATTTCAGGTGTCTGGAGCCTGTAATTGCACTGATATCTGATATAGATCTTTCCAATCAGATGCTTGTGCTCCTGACTTGTTTTGTTCAGGGATGAATATACTGTATGCTGAGAGTGCCACCGAGTTAGAGCATTAAGACTGAGCATGCAGAAGCTGCACTTGGTTTGCTTTGTACCTCAGCCTGAGGTTATCAACTCTTCGTGTCAACTGACATTTAGCCTGCTTCTGTATTGGCCAGTCCTAAGCCACATCCATTGCCACTCCCAGGCTTTGTGCAAATAGAAACAGAAGTAAATAAATACCAGGGTCACAGAACTAAAGAGTTAAGAAAGCTTTGTATTCTTCCCCAGGGTAGAGCCTATTGCCACTTGTAAACACTTGCTGTTTATTTCCAGGTGGTAATTAAAACAGCTTCTCCCCACCAAGTCGGTATTACAGCAGAAGGCTGACAATTTCCCGGAGAAAACAGCTGTGCTCCCACTAATGAGCCTCAAGATCAGCAAAATGCGATGCGTGTGCGCGGTTGTAGCTGCAGCTCTGCCATGTGAGACCCAAAGATATTTTGATAATTCTTACTGGTATTTCTTAGAGGTTTCTGTTTTTTCTACTGTTATGATGCCAACTCGTAAAAGTCTGCTCATCACACTGTGAAGTTTTTCCTTTTTATTACTTACTGTGAGCTGTTGCTAATTCAATTAGGTAACAGTGACATATGGAATGGGTTCTGTCGGGAGAGGGCAAACTAACCAAAGTATGGGCAGGGAAAGCATGGGGCAGTGTGTTTCTGATTTTATGGAAGAAATGCATTTTTGTATCATGCAGTTCAATGAAACATTTTTCTTTTTTTACAGGATGAATTAATTTTTGCAAGGCTGGAGCGGGAGTTTGAGAAATGGTTTCATTCCCTTCATGTGGCATATTCACATTTTCACAAATTACTTTGCAAATAACGGGCATTCTTTAATAGGGAGGATGGAGGCTGGGTAAATTAAAGCAGAATTGTCAAGTATTACTGCTACGTGGCCTTTGCAGGTTCTTCACAACCACAACCATAAAATTGTGATGTTTGTTCATCTTAATGGTTGCTCCAGTGAGTAGATAGCAGTAGCCTTGCCATTGGGTTACGTAAACCTGGTTTGAACATCCATATATAGCAGTGTTAATGGCTAGCTGATGAATTGTGTTCTGCACTGAATTTAAGCTTAAATGTGTGCTGTTGTATGAGTAGGAAGTAAGTACAGGCGTGGCTGGAGCATGGTGACAGTGGTAGATTAGGAGCAAAAGTCTCTCCTTCCTGACTCCAGACTTCTGCTGAGGTCAACCTGAGTATCCCATCACCTCAAAAAGAATTGGGACTTCATTCCTGTTTTGGCTTTGGTGGGCATCCTGGGCAGCACATAAAGCCAGCCAGGCCTGTATTAAACACTGGGAAAACTCGTAGATGGATTTGAAAAAGATCTCCCTGTCTCACGGGCCAGAAGCTTGCTGCTGGCTTCTGCCAGTCCATGCTGTGTGATGGTGGAGTGCACCTTCCAGGAGGGTGGATTGCCAGGGAAACAGCTGGCTTCCTGAAAGCAGAGTCTTATGGGAATCCTCAGGGCTCAGTTGTGTTTGGGTAAGCAGGAAAACTCTCATGCTTACATTTTTTTCTGGTGTGGATTGACTTCATAGAATAGAATCACAGAATGGTTTGGGTTGGAAGGGACTTTAAAGATCATCTCGTTTCCAGGAACACCTTCCACTAGGTCCATCCAACCCAGCCTTGGACACTGCCAGGGATGGGGCAGCCACAGCTTTTCTGGGCAACCTGTGCCAGGGCCTCACCACCCTCATAATGAAGAACTTCTAGTATCTAAACTAAATCTTCCCTCTGTCAGTTCAAAGCTATTCCCCCTTGTCCTATCCCTACAGGCCCCTGTCAAAAGCCCCTCTCCAGCTTTTTTGTTGACCCTTTTACATACTGGAAGCTTCTCTAAGCTATCTCCAGAGCCTTCTCTTCTCCAGGCTGAACAAGCCCAGCTCTCTCAGCCTGTCTCCACAGGAGAGGTGCTGTAGCCTTTGGGGGATCTCTGTGGCCTTCTCTGCATGCGCTCCAACAGGTCCACATCTTTCTGATGCTTGGTGCCCCTGAGCTGGATACAGCACCACAATGGGGGTCTCACAAGGTTTTAGAAGAGGGGGCAGAATCACCTCTTTTACCTGACAGGTCACGGTGCTGGAGATGCGGCCCAGGACACAGCTCTCTGGGCTGCAAGTGCACACTGCCAGGTGATGTTGAGCCAGGACTTGCTGCCTCCACTAGTACCTCCCTTGCTCCCAATGGCAAATCATCTTTGTCACCACTATGTCTTGGTCCATTTATCAGTAGTTTCCCACCCTCTGCTTTCCCACTGCCTTCACACTGCAGGAGCCAAAACCTTCAGTTCAGACAAATCTGCTGCTGAGAGGAGGTTTGGGACAGTCTCAGATTTGCTGCCCTGCCTGTTCCAGGGTAGATATGACCCCAGACTGCCTGTTCAGGGTAGATCTGCAAAGGCAGAGACACACAGTGGTGGCAGTTTTTGCATTAGCTAGTCCTAGTATGGGCAGCACTCATAAGACTCACTGAAGCTGTGCGCCATGCCAATGCCAGTTCACTGCTGCCCAGGAAACCAGCTGTAAATACTCCATGTATTAATTCATTTCCATAGACTACCAAAGCGAGGGCTCTCTTCTTCTGGACAGGATTCAACTACTGAATAGATCAGTCCCGCTTTTTGGCCTCTTTGGGAAAGCGTGACAGGAAAAGCTTTCACTCATTGTGTTAAAAATGGGTAGTTCCACTATCTAGGCAGAAGTCTTCAATCTCCAGGGCCATCAGTCTGTACCCCTGACAAAGACTGAATGAAAGGCAAAACATAATTACTTACATATTACTCCATCTGACATCTCAAATATTAAGACATCTATCTAGCCTAAAATCATTCATATAAATGTGTTTGGGGCACCTTAGGCTTCGGAAATTTTCAGTAGATGAAGCGATAATGTTCTTTTGTTCATTTGGGCTGCTGATATAATATGATTTGGTTTTCCTCAGATGCAAGGGGTTTGCTACAGCCTCATGCTGTGAAGTTTTCACCTGCCGTGAATTGTACACTATTTCTCTTTGCCTCTGGAGATGTTTTCCATGATAGTCCAGCACATTAACATGAAATTTGATGCAATGCATCCCTTTTTTGAGAAGTAAGCATTATGTAAAATGAGTATAAATGTCATGTGTTTTCATAACTGTCAAACTATTGTAATTTCTTTGTTATTTCATGGATTCAAAATTTGAGGCAAAGAGGGCAAATGCTTGCTTGAGGCCATATATTCAATAGCAGAATAAAAATTGACAATAACACACTAAGGTCAGGCCAGGAAAATATTAACACTTTGTCAGCCTTAAGCATTTGGGAAGCACAGGACGTAAGACCCCATGCAACGTTTATGTTCTTAAAGCCCTCTATGACAAGCTCTATGCCTTTAGAGGGCGTATTTCCAGCCGTTTAACTGAAAAGCAGATTAAAGCGCCTGAACATTAAAATAATTGGAAACTGCAAAAAATAACAGCTGCTGAGAACTTCATGTATACGCAGGAATTGAAGCTGGTGCTTTAAGAAAAGGAGTAGAGGCTATATTGTGGTTCATGATAATGTTGTGATAGCCAGAAAACACTGTTAGGCTGGTGTTAAAGCTGGCTGAGTGTGAGCAGGGACACCTGGGGACAAATTCACCAGATGCTGAACTTGCATGTTCACATTCAGACTTCTCCTGGTCCTCTATCCATCAGCTCTGTGCTTTTGTGGCTTGTGCTTTGGCCAGTTCATGGAGCTAGAAAATACTTTGTGAAAATGGCATAAACTGAAAAAAAAGGAAGATTTTTGAAAACTTCTCTCTAGCCAAAGAAAAAACAGACTTAGCAAACAATGCTTATTTTTGTTGAGGGAAAAGAACTGCTGTGTCTGACGTGGTCCCTTATGAAAATGTATGTTGTATATGCCATTCCCAAAACCCGCATATTTTGTAAACCAAATTGCAGATAGTGTCAGTTTGTGTATCGTACTGTATTTGTGCTCATTTTTGCCTGGAAAGAAAAAAAAAAAACCAACTCCAAAAAGGAAAACAGAGGAATTGAATATTAAAAAAATTGAGGTGTGAAAACTTAGGGATGTGGGAATAATTAGAAGTATTTTACTACCCACTGGTACTTAATGTGAACTGCACTTCAAACTTACACCAGTTAAATTACCTTTGTAGCTGTCGGCAGTTTCACGGTGCCTCACGCCCATAGAAGCTGCACAGAGCTCGTTACATCAGCCACTCAGACCAGTAAATCCAGGAGATTTGTTCATCTTCCAAACAGCATAGAAAAAGACTGCACTATGCGCTAATGAGCCCCCCTGGCATTTTTGGGGTGAGCAGCTGGAGCCTTGTGGTCCCCAAGCATCATGACTCTGGTACAGGCCCTTTTTTAAGTTGGATTTCAGCCATTGTTTGCCTTGTGAATGGGAGTGAATGTGACATGGAGATTGTAAATGAGACCTGGCACTGGCAGGGGTAGAGTTGTTGAACATCTGAATATTTATGTTTGACCTGCATCTCAGGGTCTGTAGCAATAGAGGGGAAATTGGGGGTGGCCCATCTCAGCTCTATAAACTAATTTTTAAAAATATTATTTTGATTAATTAGATGGCACCTAATGATGTAACCAACAGACTCTCGCTCTTGGCCCCTTCCCCTCTGGTGGTGCTTTAGGACTTTGCAGGTGGGAAGCAGGAGCATGTATAGATACCCCTGCGACACCATGTCCTCTGGGTATCATTTCATAAAGACGTGCTAGCAAACAACATTAATAGCACTTACTAGATTTGGTATCTGCCATGCTTCTTTCTTTCATTCTTGGCCATAAGCAGCTCATTAAGCAAATCAAAGTGGGTTTTATGGGACTGCCTTCATCCTGTCAGGTGCACTTCACCCAGATGTGCACATGGCATGTCACCACCAAAGCGCTGCTGATACCCTGCATGCAGCAGGGCTGGCACAGAGAATATGACTGCACACTTTGTGCCTGTGAGTATACAGTTCTGCTGAGTAACTTTAGGAGCGGGGCTTCCAGCAAGTTGCATGGTTATGCGCAGGTACAGCCAACTCGCTTGTTTTGTCTCTATTTGTCAGGATATATCTGTTTTGATTGCCTGCACTGCTAACAAGAGCAGTTAAGTGAACTGCATGAGCCTTTCTTAGTGGGCTGAGAGCCATGTGAAATGCAGAATGGGTCCCTGGTAGCAGGAGTAAAAGAAAGCATGTCTTGCTATTCCCCATCTCCAGTTACTGTTAGCCTGTACAGGAAGCACTGGTCCGTGGGTGATCTTATACACCATATGTTCTGCAGTATGCACTACAGCAGAGAGGCACAAAAGGGTGTGTTTATATTGTAACTGTTTTGTTTTTATTGTCCTTTAAGGTTTATTTTGAGAGGTTTTTTTTTAAATAATGCATTTATACTTTCCTCTGTGGGGCTTACCTTTTGAGTTGAAGCTGTTAACCACAGCCAGATATTTGGCAGTGATGCATCATTTTATACTCTCACAAAAGGCCATTAATGTTCACTCTGAGATCGTTACCAGGTTAATGAATCACAGGACGCTGTAAGCACAGCCTCAGCTCAGCCATAAGGTGGGAACCAAGATTTCCCAAAAAGCTCTACAAGTCACTGGCATTGCCAGCTAGTGCCAGAGCACGGCTGATCCCAGAGTACATGGCAAGTGGCAGCAGTTGAAGGCTTGTAGCTTATTGCACCTATAATGGCCTGTGGTCACCCATCAGACTCCTGCAAAGGAGTGGATGCTGTGTGGGTTTGCACAAGTTACTTGTTGTGGTCAGTGCACAGAAATGTGACCGGGAGTGCTAAGGAAGCTCTGCAGAGCATGGGGTGAGAAGGCAGCCCTACCATGTTGCACCCATTATGGGGCTGGCATTCCCAGATCC